GAAAGACTGATAAAAAGGGGAAAAAATGAAATGCATGAAAATAAAATGTTGGAATGTAAGGAGTAAAAAATTTAATCTCTTTTCACTTTCAGGCATTCAATGTCCATTCATTAATGCACCAACATTTGAAGAAAAAAATCTCTTTGCAATACGGCTCGGGAAACAGTAAACCAAAGCACCATGTTTCATACAGTTCATTGTATTCAGGCAAATGAATTGATAAAAATGCTATTTTCAAGTAGAAATTGATCCAAGGATCTTAAGGTAGAAAAGATACACATGGAGGCAATCCAACATGGCTTCCTCTTGTCCTCTCTTCAATGATACAAAGATGGCATGTCCATGCTATATGTAACTCTGTGGTGCATTGCATACATAGGCCCTTGAAATCTATATTAGCCATGAATGCAACTTGACATCATATCTTATCACAAATATCACCATAATTCATTAAATTGATCCTTAAATAATTCCATTTCCAGGCTTTATTTGTAATTCCTTCACAAAAGAGAAGTTCAATAATAATATAAAACTAGAAATATCGCAATCTGTATTGCAGCGCAATACAAATGTATCCCCCGGCAGTGGCGGCGATTTTTTTTTTCTTCCTTAAGTTTTGAAGGAGGGACAAAGATCCCCTCTCCCCTCCCTGAAACAAAAGGATGACGTAGAGATCACCAATAGTGGCTCAAACTATTGTCAAGACTAGGAGCTGCATCACCAAAAAAAAATATGTGTGTAGATTAGAGTATAATGCATCTCTGTAGAAAATTTGAAGAAATCTGTCAAGAAATGTGGCAGTTAGAGCGCACAAAAGACAGCCACCAAAATATGGCCTTTGACACTATAACAGACAGAGCACAGGTGGCAGCATCACCAAACACTAAAGATGTGTAGATTTCACTAAGACACACCTCCATACAACATTTGAAAGAAATCCGTCAAGAAAAATAACACTTAGCCTTGCCCTAAATATCTTCTTGACCTAGTCTCCCTTCGATCCTCCTCTTCTGCCAGATCCCTCTGTTCATCTTCCTCCATGCAACTAACTCACGGCCCACGAACAAAAACACAATATGGTGACCGTACCTTTTCATTGATAGCCCCCACCCTCTGGAACAAACTCCCACCCCATTTTCAAAATGCCCCATCCATTGAATTATTCAAAACCCTTCTCAAAACCCACCTTTTTAATCAGTTATAGTATACTGGAGGTGCACACAAGTAGTTAATTCCATTCAACTGAATTGTATTGTATTAGCAATATTTTATTTTGTTACTTTTAAGCTATTGAACATGTTCAATAAGTTAGACAGTACCACCTGTGCGCTTAGAAATGCCTGTATAAAGCGCCCTATCAATGTAATTATTATTATTATAAAAAACATTTGACCTTTGACCATATAAAAGATGGAAGGACGAGGGCAGCATTGCCAAAAATTGAAAGAAATCTGTCTTGAAATATGACCTGCAGAACGCACACTAGACGCCCACCAAAATATGACCTTTGACCCTATAATAGACGAATACTGGTGGCAGCATCACCAAACACTACAGATGTGTAGATTTGTTCTAGATACACCTCCACAGGCGCGAGGCTAGGGTACAATTAACGGTGCGAAAGATTTCGTCCTTGAAGCCTATTTTGTTTATGCTAAACCGCTATGAAAGAGTCTCAGCTAAACTGTAAAATATTGCTTTGGAAACCACCAAGTGAGATGATTGAAATGTGAAATTGAAGAAGAGTTGATCTAACTCATAATTATTGCAGTTAGTTGTCAAACCCTGTTTTAATATGCGTAAACTGGGAAAAACGAAGCGCACTTCTTTTTTTTTTTTTTGTCTGAAAATATCGCGGTATTTTTCATATTTTTACGCCATGACACCAGATCGATACTTTCGTAAATGTTTAATCAAAATATATCAACGTATCCAGTATAGTATCCTGGAGGCGCAAACAATTACTTAATACCTTTCAACTGAATAAGTATAAGTAATATTTCATTTTATTTTATTGCTTTTAAGCTATTGACCATGTTGAATAATTATACCGAGTTAGACAGTACTACATGTGCACTTAGAAACGCCTATGGCTGTATAAAGCACCCTATAAATTTTATTATTATTATTATTATTAATGAAATGTTTGCGGAAGCGTAAGTGTAGTCCCCTCTATAGATATATACGTGCAGGAGAGTTGTAGTCCCACGTGGTGTTATACATGTATGTGCAGAACTGTTTGGTGTGGGTGAGTATGGAGCATCGATGGTTTGGTCTTTGTAATGTAGCGAGTAAAACATGCTGTTGTGTGGTAGAAATTGTGCAAAAAGAAAAGATCTATACAAAATTTGAAAGAAATCCGCCATGAAATATAACCTGCAGGGCACACACTAGACACCCACCAAAATATGACCTTTTGACCCTATAAGACATGTGAAACTGGTGGCAGCATCACCAAAAACTATAGTTGCATAGATGTTACCAACATACACTTCCATTCTCAATTTAAAAGAAATCTTACAAGAAATGATGCAGTTAAATGAGTGCACTAAGGACATCTATCAAAATATGACCTTTGACCCCATAAAAGACGGAACACAGGAGGCAGCATCATCCAAATTTATAATCTTGTAGATTATACCAAGATACACCTTTGTTCAACATTTGAACAAAATCCTTTGAAAAATGTGGCGAATAGAGCGCACACAAACCATCCACAAAAATATGGCCTTTTAATCTACAGAAGACAGAACACTGGGGGCAGCATCACCCAAAGTTATAGGTGTGTAGATTATCTATAGGCGGCGGCGGCGGCGGCGTAACGCTGTTGCATCCAAACAACCCGTCTAGCATACTGCCGGGGGCTACAATAATGCCTAGCCAGGGCTTGTTACATACTGATAATTAATGGAGAATAATCAAAATATTTATATGTATAAATATCATATATATATATATTTTCTTGCACATCCCGTTTCAAACTACTTCTGGGGGATGTTTCACAAATATCCTAAGTTAAACTTATCTCAAAGTTGGACTTAACATTTATAGAAAGCTGTTGGCATCTATGAAAATATTTTGTAAAAATGTTGATTCAGATTACAAATATTTTCTATTACAAAAAGGGATTTCATGTTCTTGATGTGGAATTTATAAAAAGTCTGAAATACTTGAATTTTCGCTTTTGAATTTATTTCATTTTAAGGCTACAAAGGGCTCTCCATAATGTTTAAGTTTAACTTAGAGTTAACTTCAAATTAGGTACTTTGTGAAACACCTCCTGCACTGTAGTTGAATATCATTCGGAACAAAAAAAAAAAAAATATGCGCAATACATATACAGAAATATATTCACATATAAAAACAATACTGTGCACCATTACCATGGCTACATGACGTACTGTAGTAAATAAGATATATTTACATTAATTCCATACAGTACACAGAACTAAATTACAATTGTCAGTTCCATAGAGTACATTGTTCTTTCTTTACAATATGGTTAAGATAATAAGTGTGATATTTGCTTCACCATTTGCACAATACAATAAACAATTTGCATACATATATATATGCATCGACTTGTAAGTTGTACCAGTAGAGATTTTGCTGTAAAGTGGCCATGTCAATGACCCTGTTGTAGAAGATATCATCTGTTTAGAACAATAAGGGCATTAGCTGATATTATAAGATGATGACGTAGATCCTAATCAAATGATTGGTTGAAAGCGTACACGTGACCAGGCATTTATTTTGCCTAACGCGTAATTTGGGTAATGACCGGTCATTACCACATCTAGCTAAAATTAGCGCAAAATAAGCGCGACACAAGTCAGAGGTCTAATATTAGACGCGCGCAAGGCAAGGTACGCCTCAATTTGCGCTTATTTTAAACAATGGGTTATGTAAATGAGAATTTAAACCATGGGTTAGATTTAAACTTCCTTTGTGGATTCGGGCCTTTGAGTTTGAGATGAGGGCGATTGATCAAATAACAAGGATCCACGTTATAATTTTATAAAACAAATAATACACATCATTTTGTTCGGGCATTAGTATAATTACCCACACTCTGTACCTTTGAAAAAGTCTAACACGCCCTTTCAAAAGGTACCTTGTGTGGGTAATTCTTACTAATGCCCTCACTGCTGTGTATTATTTGTATACTACTTTACATGAAGCCAACACCCTTCTAACTCTCAGCAGATGATAGTACATGTTCAGTAATAAGTATCAACACAATTGCCTAATCCTTTATCAGTAACAGATACTAATTGAAATATAGAAAAAGAGGCAATAAGGCAGAAATTGTGACTTCTATCAACCTGATACCAGAGAAATACCATTTCAAAACTATAAGAAGAACAGAATATTCAACTTAACAGCAAGAAATCGCATCAATTTTAATATCCAATTTATTTTCCAGTCTTATTCAATCAAATGAATAAATTTTCTACTCTAAAACAAGAAATTTCTGTTTTGTGAAAAAATTCCCCTGTATCGTAGATAACTCCTGTTTTTCCAGTATGAAATTTTTACAAATCCCAGCCACTCATGAAATTGAAGAAAATTATGCTTTCTGCATTCGTTTTTGTTCTGTTTCCCCTTTTTCAGTATTCCATTTCATTGGATTTAATCTGCTGGTTTAGAATACGGGATATAAGTAATCTTATCCTTCATCACATGTTGAAGGAAAATATCAAATTCCAAATATCACATACCATTTTACATACTCAGATTTCAATGTAAACAAAAGAGACAATATTCCTCAGATTGGAACTAAAAAAAAGTAAACCCAGATAACAAAGAATAAAGTCTGATGATGAGAGGTTACCATTTGATTTAAAGGTAATGCAACATTTTGAGAAATTTTGAACATTGGATGGATAGTAGTTCTTTAAAATTTTGATATATGTGGATGCCCCTGTGGATGTATTGTAAGCCCTAGAAAATTTAGCCTCTAAAATACTTCTGCTTTCGAATGGAATAATCAAAATTTACCGGTGCTCCCTGTAAATTTCAAATAGCGCCTAAGGCCATTCCATTGTAGCTGCGACCATGAAAATCTCAGAATATGCAGTTCTGATATATAATGTCCAAACGGGAATAGTAACTCGGTCGATTGCAGTCCAGAAAACATTGTTTTAAAGCTAAAGTAATATCAGTCTTGGGAGGAAGCTATACAACATAAAGAGTTTATTATTTACAATTTCATCACTTAAGACTCGATTTCAACCGCGCCAACGATCATTGAATATTATAAAATGGCATATGCTCCCAATATGTTCAACTGAACTAAATTCATGACCCCATACCAAAACTTTGTATTATCTTGAAGCACCAAAGATTCTACAATGAGAAATGATACATTCATCATCTGCCAAAGGGCATGTAAAACAGACAATTTGACAATAGGAGGGGGAAAAGAAAAAAAAGTAGATTGTACATTTTAACTTGCTGCAGAGATACATTCAATGAGAGATGAAGTCATTTTCACTGAAATGTCTAGCAATTAATGACCCCATTTGTACAGGCAAAAAACAAAATATTTGGTAATATTCCATGCGTTTCCTAGTAACCCTGACGACAAGACAGTGGGCCTGTTGTTTTATATATCTTGTTTTCATTTGTGTTTGGATTGCATGATATTCATGCAAGCATTAATTGCAAGAATGCTAAGAGGAAAGTGCTGCTTATACATCTAAATGAAATAAAAGACAAGCTCTTTGTAACACATCTGGAGCACTTGATCCCAGTTCCAGTAATTGATAGTAGAAAGAGAAGTAAATGTGGAATTTTCATTCTCAAAATTTGCTCCTACAGGTGTATAAACAAAAAAGAGTAAAAATATCAAATTTGTTGTTTCTCTAAATTTCGGATATGCTAAGATAAATCGTATGTTTAAAATGAGATAGATCACATCACATTACATAGACTTAATGATCTGCCGTCTCCAAACAGATATTAGGATATCTTCTTATAAAAACAGACAATGTCTAAAATCATGACCCTTTATGTGTTCCATTGATCACTCACAAAAGGATTACGTATTATAGAGAGCCTTGCTGGCAGGGGAAAGGAAACATTTAACAAACAAAACAAACAGATTAGTTTTGCATCGGATCAGTAGTACACAATATCTTGGCAGCAAATTGTAATGTAGATATTTATATTGTCTAGCTGTCAGGGTTTCTCTGGAGGTTCATTGGTTAAGGACTCCTGTATGTGTTCTGAAGATTGTGGGCCTTTCCTGCTGATTGGAGGTGTGTTGTTCAACGATCCTTTGATGGGTAGCGGAGGGGGTGCCTGATCCTAAAAACAAAACACAAGTGACTCATTACAAACTGACAATGCAACATTGTATTGAAGGGGGTTACTGGTCCTAAAAACAAAACAGAAGTGACTCATTACGAAATGACATTGCAGGATTGTTTTACACAAGATATTACTAATTCAACATTAATTAAAACATGACCTAAAAGTAAATGTTGTTAGAGTATACAGTGCGAGTCAAATAAAAGTTTACACCTAGAATATTGCTAATTATTCTAAAAATCATCTATGAACAGTGAATTATTATACATCTTATGAAAGAGAGTTTTATCCCAAATCATTTAGTACCATTTTTGTGTAGTATGTGTTCACGCTTGGATGGCCAGGAGACATTGTTTAAGAGAGTGCAAAAATCAACTTGCGCCAAACGGCGTATGTGATGTCTGAATAAAATTTGGGATTTGGGTATTAAAGGCTAAGTCCACTACAAAAATAATTTGCTTTTAATAGATGCAGAAAAACAAGAGAAACAGAGCAAACAAAATCTGAGTAAAATCAGATAAATAATAAGGAAGTGATGATTTTTTTTGTTAAAGTATGAAAAACTATGGAATTAAGAATATCACTACACAAATTGCTAATTTGGTTATCAGTTTGTGACGTTGTTGCCTCACTATTTATCGATTGCTTTATATATTTTTATCCTATTAATTTTCCTTCTTATCCCCAAAAATTTGATTTCCCCATGCATTTGCCCAGGTTATATGATTTTTATCATGTTATATGATTTGTATCATATTGCATCATGGCCTTCTAATTGTTTTATAAGGTCATGGTTGTGTGCGAAAGTGTGCGAATCAGTAATGATAAATTTCATATCACCAAAATCGTCTACTATTCAACTTTGCTGCTCCCCATTGGGGATGTTTTTATTTAAGACACACTCTTACAGAGCACACCATCCAAACAAAACCCAAGAGAGGGAAACTGCTCCTTTGTCAATGACTGAAAATTCTTGCGCAGTCGTTAAAACAGCTGAATGTTCTCATTAAGATGCACATAATCAGAAGGCGGTGACTCTCATTGGATCAAAGAAAGAATCAGGTCGACTGTCCATCCGTAATAGGTCCATGGTTTGTCTGATTTTTCTGCTTCTATTGAAAGTTATTTATTTTTGGACTGGACTTGCCCCTTAATTCGGTCTATGCAGATCCAAATAACATCCCTAACAAAATTAATCATGCCGAACATATCAAATATCAAATGTCAAAGAACTTTTGCGCGCGTGTGTATTTGTGTGTGACTTTGCTGATGCAAAAAGCATATGCAATGCATCTCATTTGATACATTCAATTCTTTCTCTAACTTGAATAATTTTGTGCGAGTCGATTTTTGCACTCTCGCAAACAATGCCTCCTGTTCATTCAAGCGTGAACACATACCACACAAAAATGATACCAAACAATTCAGAATATAACACTCTTTAAACATGTACCTTTCGTTCATGGCTAACTTTTAAAATAAATGACAATTTTTTTTAGTGTAATTTTTTTTTACTGACACAGTATTGTGAACGACTGTAGGTAGATCACATCTCCCTGGCTCTTCTCGAAAATTGTGGGGGAAAATAGAATAGTACTAATAATAGAGTATTTACGATGCACAAACTCATGGTGCTCATGGTGCAAAAGAAAGTAAGAACATGAAAATACTCAACAGTGAGACAAGTTGTTAGAAATAACAAGCAGATGTACTGGCAAGAAATTTTAAAACGAAGAGTTTTGAGGGCATTTAAAAAACAATCTACACTTGAAATATTACAAATGTCTCTTCCTGATCTAGTCAACTAATGAAACAAAAGCAGGTAGACAGCCATGCTCATTTTTTTCTCCAAATGCACTGTATCATATATCCCACACAATGAGTGATTTCAAGTTTGGTGTTAGTGTTAGTGTTTAGAGCAGTCAAGAGCGGAGAATTTGCTGATGAAATTAAGAGCCCGATACCGATATCAAAATCGATAGTTTAACACCAGCCGTGACATCACCACATACAGTGTACTTGATTTTACGACCATGATTTAAAAATAGTACATCAAAACTAAAGATATCATGAAAAGTACAGAATAAATCTACACCTATTTCTCTGGTCTTAGAAAATAACTAATTTTACACGAAAGAATATAGGAATTACGTGTTTCACATATTTTTATTTGATCGTCAGACAATAAATTGGCGTCGTTCGTGCGTTGAATGTGTGCGGGTACAACACTAACACCGAACTGGAAATCAACATTTGCCTAATCCCTAGGGGCTAGTATTAGTGAATAGGACATTTGTACGTAAAATATTAACACCAGCCACAAAGGTCGATTCAGCAGACGACAATTTTGCAAAATCGATAACCAGCCTTAAACACCAAACTTGAAATCACTCATTGTCACGAGGCAATCTAGGCAAGGAGTTAGGCCTTACCTTGTCCTTGAGTGACGTGAGAGCAACAGGGAATCCCGCTGGCTTAGGAGGAGGATTGTTTTGATCGATGACCTCTGTATGACTGAAGTCACCGCTGGACTGCTTAGGGGGTAATTTAGGGGGTGCATCACTGTCCCCATCTGATGACTGTAGAGATGACGTGGATGAGGACTGGTCTGTCGACAAAGAGAGGATCAAAAACATATAAGAGATCATTGCTTATTTAGGATTCTGAATCACACAAAGATTTTTGGTCTTGTGAGTCTCTATGCTTAATCATGCAATGCATATTCATTGCTCTAATAGATGTGCATTTATTGTTTGTTTTTTTCTCTTGTTTTTCTGCATCTATTAAATGCAAATTGTTTTTGGAGTGGACTTGCCCTTTTAAACTACAAACATATACATATTCTTCACTCTAAGAGTTGTTTTTTCCTTACTGAGACACATGAACTTTTATAAAGGGCTTCTAATACTACTGACATACATAGCCATTGTATCATACGTCTCTAGACTTACTTACTTATGAAATGTATCTTTGTTATAATGAGTTCTGCACTTCCACATGACATAAATTACAGACATACTATGATGGGAATCTATAATGGGTTTCTATAGTTGGTTTCTGTAATGGTTTTCTATAATGCGTCTCCATACTGGTCACATCTACATTATGTTGTTATAATGGGATTGTATACATACTCATATCATGCATATTCATAGCCCTAATGGGTTGTTATGATTACTTACAGGTGTATGATATGTATTTTTTGTTATATTGAGTTCTACATTTTCATAAGACATAACTTACTGACATACTATGATGGGAGTCTGTAATAGGAGTCTGTAATGGGTTTCTATAATGGGTTTTCTTACTGGTCACATTTACATATGTTGTTACAATCAGATTTTATACTTACTCATAGCATGCATATTCATTGCCCTAATGGGTTGTTGTGATTACTCATGATATGTATCTTGTGTTATATCGAGTTCTACACTTCCACAGGACATAACTTACTGACATACCATGATGAAAGTCTGTAATGGGTTTCTATAATGGGTTTCTATAATGGGTTTCCTTACTGGTCACATTAACATATGTTGTTACAATCAGATTTTATACTTACTTATAGCATGCATAGTCATTGCTCTAATGGGTCTTTGCATGGGAACATGGTTGGCTTTCTTCATATCCTTCCTCAGCGGCCTTGCACTAGAAAGCTATAATAAGTCACAGAGAGACAATGAGAAATGAAACAAGTCATAAATATGCATCAGTATAAGTTTCTCTGATTAAAAGAGGTACCTGTACACTTCTCTCTCATCTTAATTTTCAATTCGTCTGATCAGACGCTCGCTCTGAAGACACCGTCACTAAACCTTGCTCTTAACCCACGTTTTCTTACATTTTCCATGACCCATGAAGTCACATACACCTTTTCCATAATGGTGAAAAGCAGATGGATCTTTTTTTTTGTATTTTAGTTATTAATCTATTTTTAAATTGAGAACACCTTGACAGATCACTCTTATTACCCATTAGCATGACGAATATCGCCTGAGAAATCTTTGGCAAATGGACCTCCTGCTTTCACACATGATGAAGTACAAACAGACACACATGCATTTGATGCAGACGGAGATAGCTTTAGATTACCATGCAAAATTGTCACATTTTAATTAAAACAAACAAGTGTAATATACCCTAATGTGAGGTGCAAAACCATGCAATTGAAGTGACTACAGTGAAAAGGAACACAGTCATAATGTGTACTAACTGTGTAAAAACTATTTACACTAAAAAATATCTACTTCTTACGTATAATACATCGTAATCCATTTATGTAAGACACACTCAATGATAAAAGAAGCAATGCACGTACAAATTCCACAAATGTGAACTGAAAAAAAATTACCTAAGAAAAATAAATATCTCACTCTCAAATTTAAGTTGGTAGGTTGGCATTCCAAAAATATGCAGTGTGTTTATACAGTTCTTAAACAGATTTGTATATTTTTCAGGTGCATAGTACGTGTATGTGTGGCTCAAAATTGAGACTAGACATAAAACATGCAAACATAACAGGCATGGCAGACCAAAAGACAAATGCAAAGGTTGTGGTGACACCTCCATCTTACTCCCGATGATCCAATTTTTACTCATCAAATTATCCTTGAGTTTATAGTTGATATTTGTGTCTTTACCCATATCAAAATATGATTATGAAACAACTGAAAATAAATAGTTCTCTACCTACAGTTTTTTACTCATATTCTATACCTTCAGCATAAAGGACATTGCATACTACAAAAAAAATGTCTGTTCAGGCCCCCCCCCCAAACCCGCCCCCAAAAAGGGGGGAATTTAAAACATTGATTTAAAAAATACTCAACTGAAATGGTCTATATATTAGAACAGAGCAAGTTTTAAAGAGAGCCTAAGATAAAATAGGTTTGTAATTACCATCACAGGTAAAGTGAAATTAACTACGGAAAGTGAGAAACATTAGAGATGTTCCTAATATAAATCATATGTCCACATATTCGGAAGAACACCAAGGTTTCTAAAAATAAAATCAATGATGAAATAGGTAATAACCACCAAAGGCTGATATTGATTAGAGAAACATCAGAGATGTTCCTAGTATGAACCTGTAAATGTCTATACATTCCATAGAACTCAAAATTTTAAGGAGCGAATCTTTGACATTAATGGATTTTTAATTAGCACCAGAGGCATACATTTACGTCAGATATTAAAGTAAGGAAAAGATAATATCTATCTTTTTTCCACAAATTAACAACAATTTAAATGTCTGAATATGTCTCAAAGAATGGGGTCTTCTGGTCCATTGTTTCAAAGCCAACAAAATTTCAAAAGAAATTAATTGGAACACAAAAATAACGGGTGAAAACAAAGCAAATCTACTAAAACAGACCTGCCCATTAAAAAGTACCTATTAAAAATCATAAAATAACCCTGTTACATAGTGAAAAGAAATAATAGTTCCTAGGTTCCCATTCATTGAAATAGTAGAAAAGCAAATCATTTTTTGAATAAAAAGCTATATTGTTTCATGCTGCACAAAAAAAGTAACATGTAATTAATTTAATCTTTCTGTAATTGCATTCTTAACATATTTCCAACAGAAAATAATATCTTCAAATTTGTTCTTTTTAGCACACTATTTGTTAAAGATTGTATGAGAAGTGTGGTAATACAGCATCTTCACTTCATAAAACATGATGATTCTTCATAAAATAATATCGAACTAATAAAAATTATATTACCAAAGGAAGTAAAACAAATCTACAAATCAAAGTGATGATGTAATTTTTAAAAAATAGGATTATAAAAATTATGCCATTGGATAATTTACCGAGCTTGACGACTTCCTACGTCTACATAGAGAAAAACCCTGAAAAAAGGCATCAAAAGATTGGACAAAAACGTTTAGAAAACTGTTATCTCATTCACGCATAATAAAAATGATGAGATATTCTTTTAGTAGATGAATATCATTCTTTCAGCTGTTTTAAAGAAATGTTGTATGTACAGATAGTTTTATAACTAAACATATAACTTGGCAAAAAGGATCTCTTTAATGACACCTTACAATATCCAAGCTCTTCTGCTGTTTTTGCAATGTTTAAGTACTAATTTTTCATTTTTGTTGTATGTTTAAGAGAATGGTACGCACATGCAGTCTGGACACATTTACATATTCATATGGCAAAGATTGACACCAGTACCATTTATTTACAGGGAATACATTATTTAAAATACAAACATAGGCATGCATTCAAATAAGTTTTGCAATGACATTTAACAATACATTAAACTTTTCGTGCAAAAAATGATCGCATATCAATAAAGACGTAAAATAACAAAGGCACAAAAGAAATGCTTCACAATCTATCTTAACAGAGAGTTTAATATCATATGTGTAGCAGTGTCAACCCCTTTAAGAGTAGATGAAACATATCAGTAGTTGTTTCAGGGGGATTCCCCTCCACTAGTCTCCATTTCAGGCAATCCATCACCAAGTGCAGACTATTTCATATCAAATAATCTCTAAAATTATGGATTTTGTGGATTCAATCATATCTAGTTGAATGGTAAAGATGATGATAATTAATGATTATGATAATGATGATGATGATGAAGATGAAGATGATGATGATGATGATGATGATGAGATAATGATGATGAAGATGATGATGATGATGATGTCAATTATGACAATGATGACAACGATGGCAATGATGACGGTGATGAAGATTACGATGATGAAGATGAAGATGATGATGATGATGTCAATGATGAAAATGATGACAACGATGACAATGATGACGGTGATGAAGATTATGATGATGATGAGATATTGATGATGATAATGATTGATGATGGGGATGATAATGATTGATAATGATGTCAATGATGATGCTGATGGCAATGAAAACATTCTTAATCCTGATAACAGTGACAGCAGACAGTTGTAATGTACATGTAACGATTGTGCAAATAAAAATAATATTTTCATTGTAACAATGATAGAGATGGTTATATTGATGAGAAACAACAGTTCTTATGGCTATGATGATGCTGGTGCTGCTGCTGCTGCTGCTGCTGCTGCTGCTGATGATGATGCTGTTGATGATGATGATGATGATGATGATGATAATGATGAAGATGATGATAATGATGAAGATGATGATGAATTCTGATCTTAATGCAAACTATGATGAATTAGTTATGATGATAATAAGGAAACACAAAGCAATGACTAAAAGAATTGATGAAAACTCATGAAATCATTAAATGAATATTTTTACCATTATTATTAACAGCACAGATCCTGTAAATCTTTAACATGGATCTGGACTGTCACTATTATGCTTTAAATGGTCTTTAAGCCCTCCACATGTTTTTCTGCCATTCTAATCAAATTCAAATTCAATTCACAGAAGTACAACAGAAAATTTGACTAAATTTCAATTCCCACCGACTGACTTGCATCTGCAACCACCGACACTGTTTCTCTTATAACATACACCCCTAAAAATCAATGTCTTAATTTGATATTCCTTTTCTATCTTCTTTAGTTGATGATAGTGCATATTACCCAGCTAGGACATATTTGACTATCAAAGGCTTTTTTAAAACTACAACAGTACAACAAGCATATCTAGTTATATGTGAATTGAAACGATATGAAATTAAAGAGAAGTTTGAGTTCTGGGAAGAAGTAAAAAATAATTTGAGAGCGTTATCATTGTATAATGGAAGTGTGGAAGAACATCAGATAAAAAAGTTCCCTGAAAAGCATAGCTCTTCAAATGCCTTAATATTCTAAATATGGCATTTAACATCATAAAAATTGGGACAGATTTTTATGCCACATGTTTGTGTAGTCCCGTATACATCTTTTGGAGTACAGTGCTTGTAACTTGCAGTACCAACCAGTACTTATATGCTAGTTGATCATTTTTCTGATCGACTCCACAAAGTTTCTTTTACAATGCAATCACATGACCAGAACTCAACTTTATCTTTAAATTAAATTAAATGAAGTCAAATATTTATTAAAATGCTGGAAGAATGAATGATGTATCAACTTTGTTAAAATTCAAAAAAATAAATAACCAACTGAAAATCAAAGGCATGCAAAAGGAAACATCTGTCCACAAGATGCAAAGGAATCATGATAATGATATTCAGAAAATGAAGAAAGAAAAGAACTGACAAAGAGATAGAAGGAGTTAAAGAGAAAACTATATTGGTACTAAAAGAGCTATAGCTAGACAGCACTAAATTTCATAGAAATAATGCAATTTGCAAGAAGCTTTGCTAGCATAGTTTTCATTGGGGACCCAAGTTTAACGGCTCGCATCGTTAATATTGAACTTCTTTAGATAAGCCTGGCATCATTCTCAAGACCATAAGAGCACTTCAAGCATATTGGTATAAACATACAATTCATCATGTTGTTTGGGTTTCTATTGGCTGGTATTCATTTTATAAAATACTCAGTATAAAATACTTTTTTACACCTTTGAACACATGTCCTTGGCTACTAATCATTTGCCCATTTAATAGATATTTGGGCAAAATAAAACAAATTTGATATGACTTGATGAACACATTACTTTCTCATATCACCATCTGTGTCTGTACAGTATGTCAGTTTTTCCCCAACCTTAACATTTTGGTTGTACAGGTAGATCACACCTTTTGAAAGAACTAAAACTAAGTTCATGTAAATGCTTTTTAAGTTACCTACACCTTGAAAAATAAAAAATAAAATACTAAACTTTTAAACAAAATTGTTAAGTATTTTTTTTTTTTTTTTTTTTTTTTTTTTTGGGGGGGGGGGGTCTAGGATTGGGAACATACATATCATTTACTGAGGGCAAAAAGGGTTTTAGACTCTGTGGAAACTAATATGATTTAATGCCCTTCTACCACTAAGTACATAAATCATATTCTAAATCCTTTGCAAAGTAAAATGCATGCAGGCCAAAACATTTGATCTCATGAGGCAAAATGATTAGCAAAACCATTTTTATACCCAGTTTATCCTTCGATTAAATCAACATCTATACCTTTCTTTAATACACTTCTGACAATATGTCTGTATACATGTAGATGTTGCTCTTTACATCTATCAGCTTATTGCTTTTATTGATTTTTGAACTTCCAGAATCATCAGTTCAAATGAATAATTTTAAAGAATGGATTTTATAAGAAAAACAATAGCCACAGCATGATTCACACAAGGTTTCACAAAGTCATACAGTACAAATACACTTTCTTAGGCAACACAGTTGTTGCATGCACATGCAAAATAACAATATAATTGACAAACATAGGTTTTCATTATGTTTTCATGCAGCCTTTCGCTTCCTAAACAGCTATTTCTTCACATCCAATTGTTGAATTTTCTCAAGATATTTGTCAGATCCTGCTGGAGATTTTTGTTGGTACCTGAAACAATTTCTCAACATGTTTTTCATGCATTATATCTAATTTTTTATACTGGATAGCTCAATTTTTTTCATATCATCTCTCCAAAAGCATTGCACTCATAAAAATACTTCTACATTAACAGATGGCATTCAGGAATCTTGCTATTTAGACACTATTTTCTACAACCATCCATTGCACAAGCAAGATGCAAGCAGAGAAAGAGATACACACTCTAAGAGAGGGGAAGTCAGAGTGACAGAGAGGGAGAAAGACAGACAGAAAGCCAGATACAGAGAGGGAGACAGGCAATCAGAAAGCCAGATACAGAAAGAGAGAGAGAGAGAGAGAGAGAGAGAGAGAGAGAGGGAGAGAGAGAGAGGGAGAGAGAGAGAAAGAGAAAGAGAAAGAGAGAAAAAGTCAGAGATACAGAGAGGGAGAAAGACAGACAGAAAGCCAGATACAGAGAGGGAGACAGGCAGGCAGAAAGTCAGAGAGAGAGAGAGAGAGAGAGGGGGGGGGGAGAGAGAAAGAGAAAGAGAGAAAAAGTCAGAGATACAGAGAGGGAGAAAGACAGACAGAAAGTCAGAGAAAGAGAGAGAGAGAAAGAGTGAGAAGAAAAAAAGAGAGATGGGGGGGGGGGGGGGTGGGGGAGAAAGGGAGGAAGAGAGAGAGAGAGAGAGAGAGAAAGTCTGAGATACAGAGACAGAGAGAAAGAAGGGGGGAGAGGCCCACTACCAAGCAATAGTTGAAGGCTGTGTGTTTACATAGAGTATAGTACCTGTTGGAAGAGTGGCATGTAGCTCTATATAAGACAAGGGAAGACAAGACGAGACAAGAAATATCCAATCAATATCAAAAAGATTTAAATAAGAGCTAAATCTCTGAGATAGTATACTACAAGCAGTAATCTTCCAGGATTATTTCCCTCGCATTTCATATTTTACCACTCTAGTGAGTGAAAAGGTGAGTGAAGACTAACAGATATCTTTTACAGCTTGTGGTCTCTCTTCTTTTTCGTTCAAAAATAGACTACATGATCATCCATTATTGTCCTGCATGGCCATATCTTGTGCAAGTATTGATACACTGGAAGGCCTTTTGAGAAAATATTCTCCTATAAATCTTGTATATTCAAAAGTTCAAATTCTTCAATTGCTATTGTGACAATAAATACACAGGATGGTCTATTAAAATTCTAAACTTTCAAAATCTGTTTTTGTGATGCATGCATATTATCCAGATAATTCAGACAGTCAAACAAATGGATTTGAATTTTAAAAAAAAATCATTATTATTACCTGAAATGCATCTATTCTACACAAAACCTTCAAATACAAACATCAAGCATTTTTGTGGTATGCAGGTGTGTGTATATATAATCTTTGGCAAGCAATAAACAATACAGATTTTTTTTTTTTTTTAATACAAGAAGAGTGGGGTCAAAAAGAGGCCAGGAAAAATATATGACATTGAAATAAATATCTCAAAAGAAGGTGGGCTGGTAAGCTTGTACCAATGGTGGAGAATTACAGGTCCCAGGTTTGGTGATGTGTCTAGCTTAATAAACTTTGTACAGGCTGTATTTCGTACTTCACCAAAAATAACAAATAATCTCAACTTTTAGAAATCGTATTTCAGGATGAAATTCCTAGTTTCATTGCCTAGGACAAACAACGTTCCCACTGAAGAAAAAAAAAATTCACATTGGATCTACCTATTTCAGTTTCATTTAAAAGAATAGTTTTTCTCATCCATATTACATACTGGGTCAATTTTTTTGGCAAGATTCAAGCACAATGCAATATCTAACATTCCAACAAAAACTCAATGTAATACAGTGTACGCAGAAATTATAAGTATGAAACGTGTATGGCCTCATTTGTGCTAGTAACTTTATATATACCTATTGGTAAGTGGCATACCAGACAATGCAAAGTGCAATTTGTTCCACATTTATTTTTCCTACTACATAATATCGAGTGCAAGGCTAGGAAAAAGGATAAGATTGCAGTCTTTAACCATATATAGCCCAGGGGCTATATGGAGGAATGGAGTGTGCATTCTAACAAAAAGCAACAACAACAACAAAACTTTTAAAAAATTCAAGATTTTCAGATTGGAAAAAAGGAGCTTCCAAAGGTTCAATGATTTAAAATCATCAATGTATCCAACTTTTTACCAAGAATTTAACATTTCAACGGCCATAGCATCTCAATTCAGTGTAGAGCTTCAGCAAGCAATCACATCAAACATTAGAGATACAACCTACACTAATAATAATTCAGATATATCCATTCTAATATTCTTCACTTTGGCATCGTACACAAACACTAGGCATAGGGGGAGTGGAAGGGGAGGGGGAGGTCGGGAGGGGGAGGTCGGGAGGGGGGAGGTCGGGAGGGGGGAGGTCGGGAGGGGGGAGGTCGGGAGGGGGGAGGTCGGGAGGGGGGAGGTCGGGAGGGGGGAGGTCGGGAGGGGGGAGGTCGGGAGGGGGGAGGTCGGGAGGGGGGAGGTCGGGAGGGGGGAGGTCGGGAGGGGGGAGGTCGGGAGGGGGGAGGTCGGGAGGGGGGAGGTCGGGAGGGGGGAGGTCGGGAGGGGAGGTCGGGAGGGGGGAGGTCGGGAGAGGGAAGGCCGGAAGAGGGGGGACTACATGAGGTGTCAAGGCCAATTCACAAAAGAGGAGTGGAGAGTTTTTATGGGGTAGGGGGTATGACTATATAGGCAATTGGGCATGTACATGTATCCATCTTCATATTTTGTTTATTTAATTTAAAATATTTGGAAGTCCCTGAATATCTAATTTCAAACATATTGTGCCAAACCGCATTTATGCAATCTTCAAAGAGCAATATGAAGAAATCTATTTTGTTTTAATCCTATAGTTTAGTTGATAGCAAAGGATACAAAAGATGCAGGATACAACATGTAAGAGCTGCAATTCCTTTCTCAGAAATCCACTTTGCATTCTAATCTAGACCTAGCATAACTCATGTTAGTAAAGTCTTACAGCTTTATGAATTTTTGAACAGCAAGTGTGAGCCCCACCATAGCTTACACTTTAAAAGAAATGACACTAAAGAGAGAAAGACAAGAAGAATTTGCTTTAAGAAATCAGAAGGTTTTACAAATTTTAATAACATCCTATTCACCTAAGAGAAAAATTAGTGAACACTATCACCTATGGATGACATGAGGGATGAAAATAAAATTCCACCAAAACTAAAGAAAATATACTATTTATTCTGTTGTTTATGACATGTTTACATCAAAATATAATTATCTGTCTTTCTACCTATCTCTGTTCAAAGTAGATCTCATTATCTAACAATCTCTCTTGTCTATTAACCAAACTATCTGTCAATATTCTGTCTATGTCTCTGTCTACAGGTCCTAGTATATCATACTATGTATACACCTGACTGTCTTTATATCCATCTCCCTACCATTCGTTCATGTCTATCTACCGGTATGTATTCATATGTGTGTCTCTGTGTCCTTACATCTTTTTGTGAATATATCTGTCACTAACTTCAACATTAACATCATTAGAGAGTTTCAAGTCCAACTTGAAGTCCTACCTTCTTAGCACTGAAAGGGCATATGACACTCATTCAGACTCCTATTTCTTATCTACTTTTCCTAGTGCATCTCGGAATAAAAGTTTTAGACAGATGGTGCAATACAAAAACCTATGATATTATTATTTGTCTGTCTATGTTTCTTCATGTCTGTTTGTCTGTCTGTTTACTAAGCTGCCTATCTGTCTGTCTATTTGTCCTTCTGCTCCTCTAGATATTTTCTGTCTGTCTGTCTGAGTGTTTATGGGCCTTCCCATCTATCTACCTACACTCCATTTCTCCATCCCTCCGTCTATCTCGCGCTTCCATCCAGGATAATAGGTGTAAGAGTTTCCTTAGATGTTGTTGTCATGAAACCAAGGTCCTCTGTTGATATCTAAATTTGTTTGTGTTTGTGTTTGTCTGTCTGTGTGTCAGGTGTCTGTATATCTGTCTGTTTGCTTTTCGTCTCTCTATCTATGTACAGTCATTTCATGCCACCATCTATCTCACCTTTTCATCCAAGATGATTGGTTTAGGCGTCTCCTTGGATGGCGTCGTTACCATGGAGCCCAGGTCCTCCGTTGATAGATCCCTGCTATTCCGATGTATCTTAGCCGGAGAGTTTCTGCTTGGGCTACCCTGTCCCTTGCTATTGTGCCTGTCTGATGACTTGCTGGATATACTCTGGTTACTGGGAAGAGATGGCATAGAACAGAGAGAAAAGAGTTGGATTAAACTGGTTCTTTTCTTTTAATCTGTGTTTAATTCCACCTCAGACAAGTGCTGTATGGTTCAAGACACTGAAACACATCAAGAATATCTCATTTAATTTGGCTGAAGCTTTTATCTGAATCAGTTTACTGCTTTTTGTCTGAAAGGCCTTATCTCATTCTGTTTTCTCCACAAACTTCCAGTCTTGACTATCATTGTCCACTAACATCAATGATAGCAATTAATTCTTTACTTTTATTTTGTTTTATTTGTATTATTTCATTGCAATCGTTTCCATTGAAACAGTACAGGACAAAAGAAAATTACTTGCTAGCTTTAACACATATGAATTTCTTTGAAATCATACTTAGTAGTTGTATTTATCCTTGGCTTCACTCTGGCTATCTATTTATTTTGAAAGTGAAATCTGAATCTGAAAGGAACTAACAGTGAATTGAGAAAACAAACTAGCTTTAGATGGTAAGTTTGCTACATTCATTTACCAGCGTGCTCTTTCACGCTTGGACATACATGTAGTTTTTGTTAAAGCCATATCAGAGAACTGTCATGACAAGTGTCACACGAATGAGGAAATACATGTAGTACTGAATCAGGGTTCTTGTTGTTCAAAGGAAGACGAAAGCTTACGCAGCACCCAATGTTGCAAACATTTCATATGGATGGGTTACCTAGATGCAAACTTTCATCTTTAATCAATTACAAGACTTCATTAGAGCTATATCTCTGTATTCTACATTGTACAGTCAAACCTGTCTATAGCGACCCCCCAAGGGAAACACAAAAAGTGGTCTTTGTAGACAGGTGGCCTTTGTAAACTGGTTCCTTTAGTACATGTTTCAATGAGAAACCATTTTAAAGGGAAACAACAAATGTGGTCCTTGTAGACAGGTGGTCTTTGTAGACAGGTGGTCACTAAAGCAGGTTTGACTGTATCTAACTACATGTTTTGGTGTCTTGGTGTCTAGCCCAGTCTCCATCATTTACATTCCTACTATTCTACATCTAGCTGAGCAATGAGAGCTTTTGCTGAAGATGTTTAAGAAAGGCGATAAATCCTATAAACTGCCCCTACCATAGGATTTAAAAAACAACTAGGCTAAAAAGACACAGGAATTTGTGCCAAACATATTTAAAGTAGTACAGTAGAGTCCATTTTCACGCAATTCATTTTGAGACCTGATACTTGCTGTTGGAGAGCTTCAAGAAAAAATCACAGCATTCCATTCTTAGCATTTGTGAATGATATATGGAAATACACACATACTCCAATGTTGAATAAAAAGCAGTTATGAGAAAAATTAAAAATCTGTTGCTTTACTAACATGAAGCGAATTGAAACTGACATAATATACAACAACATATTCATTTGCAGAATATCAAGACTCAAAGTAACAATATACATTGTTACATGCAATAAATGGTACATGGATTGGCTGGTGAAACATCTAGAGACATCGTGTAAACACTGTGATGTAATACAGTGTACTGGCTTGTACAACGAATAGGAAAAAAACAATAAGTCATGATGTGTTTACACTCATCAATGGACATACAATCAAAAGGAAGTGATGTTAGACAAAACCGTTATGAATAAATATAGAAGTACATGTAAGAATTAATGGTGGATGATCAAATGACTTCCCATTATGGCTTGATAGATCATAGAAAAGTCAATCTGAATCAACTAATGTACCCGCTGATGTTAGGCATCTATAGTTAAAATTAAAGTGTAAAACACACCATTTGATAGCGAATGAATAGTGACTTGAATGAAAAGTAGACTGCACACACACACACTCACACACTCACACACACTCACAGCCCAATATATGAAATGAGGCCAATTCAGTTAAAGCCCCACTGTCCTAATTGTAGCTACTTGCTCCCTCTATATAGAAAACTTCCCCAATCGGTGCATGTTGGTCCCCCATGATCCTCTATTTCTTATGTTATTTGAGAGATGAGTTGATGAGACAGGCACCTGTCAGTGACCTCGCTGTGTGGTCTAATCCCTCCTAGCCACACTAGTGTTGATAAGCTTTAAGCACTCCCAAATACCATTGATGAGAAGACATAAACAAATCATGTGGTTTATAACAAGAAAATGCTTTAAATGTCTGCTTCAAAGAATCCAAGCTCAGAGATCGATCAAAGTCAATCTATCTTGAAACTTTGACAAAATGTGTTTTGATTAATGATCCTCTTCACATACAAATCATTATTAAAAATGGATATTATTGTTCATCAAGCCAGCTTTACTGCACAGATTTCCAAAACAGCAAATGTTATACACACAAAATGGAATGAAAATAGATGACTTCACGGAACCCACTAACATTTGAAGCAACATTCTTTGTTTCCTAATTGAAGCATTCAAAGGAATGGCGAACAAGCCTTGCATTCAAATCAACATTAATACTATGAAGCGATTTGTTATTTATTTTACTTTAAACCCTGACTAAATGTATTATACATTTTATGCTCAGTGTTTTCATTGGAATAAGATATTAAAATGTACTTAGTATTCACTAAAAGCAGCGTAAGGTCGGCTTCACTCTGTATATCCTCATTTTAGGAAACCTATACACATTCCATACACTTCCCTCTCTATGCACTAGGAAGGTACTGTACATTAAATCTCATTCAGCTTGTTTCTAGGTCTAATCAAAGAACCTGCCGTAGAATTATATTCTTTCTACTCTCACCCTTCCTTCATTTCTATAATTCAAGCCTAATATTTGTACATGTATTAGTGCTGCATCCCTCTATTCTGTACTTGTTGTATGATCATACTTACGGCAAAGAGTATTGCCGAATAAGTCTAGGCTGTATGTTTAGATTTCTGATAGATAGAAACAATTTGAAAAAAAATCATCAGAATTTACCCTTTATACATAGAAGAATGATAAACAATGTAAATTCAAGAAATGGTTATCAGTAGCTAGATAATCTCCTAATCTTAAAAAAACAAATCTATTAGATTTACATGTATGTCAAATTTGTTCCTTTATTTTTCAACTTCTAATGTTTATGTACAACAGTAAAGAAATTAAGATGAAAAGACTAGACAACACCTCTTTACTACATACTACACTTACTCAACAAGAATATAATAGACATGGCACAATGATGTCAGTTACTCTTATGTTACTTCTAAAAATGATTTAAGGTAGGGATAAAATAAGCGATGTTGAGAATAAAAAACATAATTGTACTATCTGAGTGCGATCAACTGTAAAGTGATTTTTTTTTCTTTGAATACCACATAAAAATGTTATTGCTTTTGAAGAATAAATGGGATCAAAATAGCGGAACAAATAAATTGTTGCTCATTTATGTTTCAATTTGGTGAAAATATGAAGCCATCATGAGAAATGAAACGCCTGATCTATCTTTCAAGGAGGGTCACATACTTACGACATTGATAATTGTCTTTTAAGCCACGGTTGGGAACTGAGATTTCTGATAGAAAAGTGTGAAGATATTTGCATAAGAAGAGCATTCGCTATAAGATAAGTTAATTGCTTACTCAGAGGGTTTGTTTCTCCCCCTCTTCCTTTCTCTTTCTCTTTATTGGTTTCCTCCTATATCATTGTCACACTCTCTTTCTCTCTCTCTCTGTCTGTGTGTGTGTCTCTTTCTCTCTCTCTCTATGATATATTGTACCCCCTCTCCCTTTCTCTATCCTTCTTAGATTGACTTCATTTAATATAAATCTCTTACATTCATTTTATAGATAATGATATCATGCAAGTATAATGATAAAATAGTTAATCATGAATACCTTGTATCTACTACCCTCAGATGATTATATCTATAATCATCCTGTGTTAGTACTCCATTATTCATATTTGAAAAATCAATGAATGTATAAATATGAGTACCAGAAATGTACATACAGGCATAAATAAATCATATAAATCATCAACTCCCTTTACTCCTGAAGAAACAACATTCTTGACCAGAAGTAATTTGGGATGATGAAGTTAATATCACTGCAATCATGCACTATGAAACAGGCACATCATATATGTATTAATCTGTAAATATGGATGCTATATGTATGAACATCAAGATGGGTGATAGATATACCAAAATATGAAATTAAAAGGAGTCTGTGATAAATGAAGACCAACACCCAATATGGAGAGTTACAGAAATGACAATCTTTAGACTAAAGACTGTGGTTCAAATAACCACTGCCCATAATTTCCAGATACCATTATATTTATAACAAAAGAATTTGAGACCAATTGTTTCCACCATCAAAAATGCCAGATGACTAGTTCGGACAATTGGCATAAGAATGACATTGACAGTAGCTGAAGCATTTTCAATAAAAAAAAAAAACCTAACGTCCTACATGGATTTAGACAAGAAATTATGTATAGCATCTTCAATATTTCTGTTTTCAAAGGGTGAAAGAAAAAAATGAAGAACCTTTGACGTGATATCATAATAAGTCTTCTGAACCTTATCACTTTATCTCCTTTCATCGTCTTATGCCATATTCCACTAAACCTTAAACGATTAATGTTGGTCCTTTAGGAGGTGTGTAGTGCCTTGTTAACATGACTCTTACAGCTAGTGATCTATTAATTGATTATGAGTGTGTGACGCATACTATATCCCTCTATCAAGAATCGGCAGTGAGAAAATACTTACGAAAGTGAGCGATGTTTATTGGACAGCTTCTGAGGAACACTTAGGTAGCTGTTACTATTTAAAAGAAACAATGCATGCATTACAGCTAAGGTTTAATACCAAGCACAGGTAGCCAATGTATAGCTGCTGCTAAGTGGAAACAAACATTAGCTGTTCAAATCTGCTTTCCTTGCAAAGTTAGGGGCATTTTACAACACACATGTTTGATAAATGTAAGGAGAATCACAGGATTCAAGGAAACAGAGATTGACGAGACAAAGAGCAAATATACTTTTGCAAGTGTGAGCAAGTTTTGGTATATTGTAGGATTGTGCGCACACTGTTTATACATACAAGTACATAACTTATTTTTAACACCAGACAATTTTATATTTTGTATTAATACACACAAAGATCTGGGGCAGAAATCAAGCTTCAGGGGGCATACATGTGCATAACAGTGACAATTTTTTGGTATTTTTGACATCAGAAATAGAGACCACATTTGCCCCTTGTTTCTTTGTGAACCATTACAAACAGAGACACGTGGCACAAACATATCAAATCCATGCAGCCAGGTTAGGAAGACTGTCAATAATTCAGAGTGTCACATACAGTTGAAAGCCACAGATAACAGAATGTGATATAAGACTTGAGATTTCAAGTCGTCTTTACTTCTTGTTTATGCCATGACGACATTTCAAATTTCTTTTCTTTTTCTACCTGTTCAGTCTTGTCTGTTCTTGTTCTTGTTCTAAGTAGAAAGTGTTGTTGTTTTTTTCTGATGAACTCTGTACAGAGTTTCCAAAAAGGAATAAATTTATGAAGAGCATTGTCCACACTTTCAGAGCTCTTTTGGAGGTTTTCAGGATTTGAATTTAACTTCATTATTATTGTTATATCTTCTTTGCTCTAATGATGATTTACTCCAATAAAAAAATATTCAGATTGCCTTCACTTTGAGAATGTTAAGTATGAACAAATGTAGTATTTGGATGAAGCAGGTATAGTTACTAGAAAACTAAACCAAAAAGCTCAGACTTTGTCATGTGACATTCACTGATTTGTGACACCTGTGAAATGACAGCATACTGCTGCATACCATTCTAAGAGAATGTGCTGGGACCACCAAAAAAATAAATTTCTCTTCCATTCACAAAATGTGGGTGAGGCTATAGAGTGGTGAAGTGTGACGTCATAAAAAATCTAATTTTAGAATTTCTCAATTTTTTCTTCATTTTCCGAAAGAGCATCATAAATAATGTCTAAATGTCGAAAACCAATTGAATATGTTAAATATTGGCAGAGATATGACCATCTGAATTAATATATTTCATATATGAACTCAGTGTTATATGCTCTGGCTCCTAATGGTTAGGAGCCAGAGCATACATGTATAACACTTGAGTTTCCATAGGCAATTTTTTTTATTCAGATGGTCATATCTCTGCCAATACAACATATTCAATTGGTTTTCAACAAGTTGAACATTATTTGTGATGCTCTTTCAGAAAATGAAGAAAAATTGAGAAATTCTAGAAATAGATTTTTATGACGTCACAGCTTCGGTACTCTATTGTTTCCTTCGTGCAAGATGAACCAAAATAAAGGTCGAAGAGGACATGATGTGGTTCATGCTTGGAATATCCATTCAAAACACAACCTCTCACAGGGATTACACAAACACTTACATGGTAAAGAGGGAACTCACACCAGAGCAAACAAAGGAAGACAATTTTGAAATACAACTATACTTTTTGCATCTTTATCACAGTCATAATTACAGCAAATAATAATAATAATACTTTTACATTTAACAACTAAATTATTCATACCGTTACCAAATCTTGTAATTTGTGAAGTATGTGAACAAATAATTTGTCCCGATTTATATCTCTTGAGAATGTGTCATATTAAAGCTGACAACTATAATAATTCAACAAAGGCTCTAATTCAACCAGTCTACCTTTAATTCTTGAGTTACGAAAAATACAAAAAACATCAATTTACAAGGTGTATGAATAATTCAGTTGGTAACTGTATATATTCTAGCAAATCAGAACTGCAAAAAGAAACAAAAAAACAGATGTATTATACTTGATAGTACAAAGCTCCCCTCAGAGAAGCATTATACATGGACTGGGCAAACATGCAAAGCCATTAGAGTTTGACAACCTTCCCATTTATCTCTTCCCCAAATCAAAGAATAGAACAGAAACGCAGACTTACTCCCTCTCTGGATTAGAGATGATGCTGCTCCGAGAACCCTGTGTGTCCGACGATGTTGATGACGTCGACATGGACGACAGAGGGCGCCCTGAGTATGTCTGACCTCTCGAGTGCCTTCTAGCAAAAGACTGGATCAACTTGTCATTAGGCGTCAGCGCAAAGTGCTCGATCAACTGAACATTTTGAAAGGTTGAGGGAAGATAAACGCAAGAAAATAAACATTTCTGTTACAAATGCATTTAACATTGGTGAGCAAAAGTATTTGAAATAGAAAGCCCTTTCCCCAGCTTTTTAAACATGGTTTCACAGAAACTACGCATAAGCTAAGCAAAGAACACAAAAATATAGGCTACTATTTATTTCAAATGAATGACATATGCAAGATATGAAATGATCACAGTTGAAGGCATAAATGACAGAGACACTTTACTCGTAGTTTCTAAAACACAATGTCTCTTTTGGGTTATATAATACGTGAAACTATAGAGCTTGGAAGACACTGAATGTTTCAAAGAACTGCTTAAACTGTTGAATAGTAATCTTGAGATAACTTGTGATAAAACCCATGAAAGGCATTGTTTAACAATGTTAAATCCGAGATGCATGGCCCTACGTGTCATCAGTGTCTGTGATGTGGTGTAATATTGAAGCCCTAAACAAAATTCGCTTCAAAATGATCATGAAGTGCCTCAAAAAAGTTAAAATCTTTGAGTGACCAGTTTTACCATATTCATTTTCCCCAATAGACTGTAGTGTTATGAAAACCGTTAGGAAAACGCAAAATTTGATTTCAATTTCCAATCATAAATATCTTGATAATAAGAGAGGCGATCGGCTTGTAAAAGTTATAGGGTTCCTGAATGATTTAAAGGTTTATAATTATCATTGCAGCACGAGCTAAATCCAGGATTTTGTTTCAGAATCAGAGACAAAGTTACACAATCCCTTTAATAATACTTTGTTCTTTTATAGCGCATTTCATTGCTGTTGACATACCAATGCGATTTACAATATATATCAATAAAATATAACAAGATCATAAAAGGTAGATGAGTAGACAGAAGCATATATAGAAGACAATGAAGTTCTTATAGAGAGAAAAATTATTACATCATTTATCCTTAAGTAATATAGACATGCTAATTTAAAAAGATGAGTTTTGAGTTTTGAGTTTAGATAAGAATGTTTCAGTATTGGGTATACAATGTAGGGAGTTTGGGAGAGAATTCAATATGAGAGGCGCCATATGCCTTTGTTCTGCCTCTCTTAGCTACAAGGAGGTTTTGAGATGCAGAACGGAAGGAGGATACTTGACAATCATCCATCCAATATCGATATCATCCAATACCGGTATGATGGCTCAGTCAGTAGAGCGTCCGCCTCACAACCGGGAGGTCGTGGGTTCGAACCCCGGCCGCGTCATACCAAAAGACGTTAAAAGATGGGAGTTGTTGCTACCTTGTTTGGCGTTCAACAATAAGGGATAGAGCTACATCGCTGCTCAGTGGCTGCCGGGTTCACGATCAATTGGAGTGGACTTTAAAAGATTATTATTACTATTATTATCATGTCCTACCTTCTTGCCATAACGCTCTTCAACGATCTGTCTTCGTTTTTGGTACTGATCTTCCATCTTTCGTTGGAAGGGTCCGAGGTCTTCAGACATCTTGTTTCTGTGTAACGTCAGACCCAGCTCTACCAGCGGGATCTGAACATAAACAAAATATGTGTAAGGTTGGCAAGTGTAACACACATCACAAGAGATAATGACAGAAAATATATATATATTTATTTCAGACCGAAGTATTATTTATAAACCCAAACATGAACTTCCAAATGTTAACCTTTGAAATAACTTAAGTGTTGATTCAGTAAAAAAATATTGCCCGCCATTTGATGTACAGATTTAGAAAGGAACCATTGGGGCCCTCTTATGCAGGGGAAATTTGATTAGATCAAACTTGATTTAAACTTAGTAAACTTTTTTCCCTTTGTTTTACAGCATATTTGTACATTAGTATTTTATGCGATATGAAAAATGAAGAAAAAAAAGCTTTTATAGAGTGTGTACTGATGCAAATATCCAATCTTTACAAAGAGGTAACAATATGGATGTTTCAGTAAAAGCAGCCCAACTGTAAGTCCTTTCTACAGAGAATGTCTGTATAGCAGTTTTGCTTTGAAATCTACAAATTACCTGTTCAGCAAAGAGCTCCTTGAGTCTTGATATATGGATAGCATCTTCAGGATGTTGAGCTACATAGTCCTCCACACAGAAAGCCTGCAAGAAAACACATGAACAGCAACTATTATCTAATATTTCTGTATGACTTCTCCTGCAGTAATAGTGTGTATGATAGTTGGACAAAAAAAACTGTGGATCAAGTTTCAAACAAGCTGATCATTCTTTATCATCCTCTTAAGAATAATTTTTGAAAGTCATAGAGGTTTTTGGAATATATCAAATAACAGTCATGAATTTTGCTTCTAAGTTTCTACTGTTTACCATAAGATGGCATCACAGTTGCATGACTACTTACAATTTGAGTGATAGAGTCTCAACCAAACTTTTTCATACTTCATGAAAACAATATTTTTCTCAATTTAAAATACACTTGATAAGATATCATAAATAGAAATTGAATAATTTATTTATTTTTATTTATTTATTTATTCAATTTCCAGGTACATGTAGCAATGACAACGCAGAGCATATAACATGAAAGAGTTACAAGACAGTGAAAATGCCACCAGCGGATGCCTGAGGATTACCTAAAAGAATTTCCATTCTGTCATGAGGTTCTCCTCGCCTGCTGATGTTACATGTTAATAGTTTTAAGAAGTAACGGTAAAATATCATAATATACCAGAATTCAAGTACATCCATCAAGCATAATACTGAATTTCTAACATAGGTCATCAACTATGAATTCCTATGATTTTAGTGACACTGTCATTTCTACATTAAAAGGATCTGGTAACTTTGTCTTAGATCCTTTCAAAAAATCCTTGATTTAGACCATGCTGCAATGATAGTTATAAACCTTTAGGTCAGTCAGGAACCCCATGAGTTTTACAACCCAGTCGCCTGTCTGATTATCAAGATATTTATGATTAAAAACGAGTATGGTAAAACCGGTCACTCACAGGTTTTTACTTTTTTGAGGCACTTCTTGATCATTTTGAAGCGCAATTTTTGTAGGGCTTCACTATAACACCATATCACAGACACTGATAACACGTAGGGCCGTGCATCTCAGATTTAACATTGTTAAACGTTCCCTTTAAAAAAATATTCAAAAATTCTCACCCTCTCGTACATGACCGGTCCGCCCATGACGGCCGAATCAATGACACCATTGAGCTGGAGACTCAGAGGGTTGATGGGAAGGTTCGGATCTTCTTCATGCTGGATGATTAGCGCCCTCAACTTACGATTTACGTCTTCCATGTTCTCAATGGCATTCTGGATAGGGCTCAATTCCTCCTGTTTGTCAAATGAGTCAAATGTAGTCATAAAGCATTGTTGTAGAAGTATAAATGATAATTCTCTCAAATAACGAAACACTCATATTGTATGTTATACGAAAACATACATTTACGTTGACATCACTGTTCATGAAATCATTTTTCATTTTAAATATTTGAAATTTTACATCAGATAGTGTTTAATATTTTCACAAATATATTTTTCAAAAGGCAGAAAATTATGAGGGCGACATTTTCTGCTGAGAACAAAAATATTATTAACTTACAAGAATTTCCTTTTACAATTTTCAATTTTTCTTTTCTCAACAGAAGATATATATATCACAATCAATGGCTTATCCTGTTTGTATCATATCTAGATATAACAAGGATTCATGTTTATACAGTTAAACCTGCTTTAGTGACCACCTGTATAGAAAGACCACCTGTCTACAAAGACCACATTTTTGTTTTCCTTGAAAGTGGTTCCTCATTGAAACATGTATTAAAAGAACCTGTAAATGGAGACCACCTGCCTATAAAGACCACTTTTCTTGTCTCCCTTGGGTGGTCTTTATAGACAGATTTTGCTGTAATACATTTGAACATTTCAACTAATGATAAACATTAAACCCTAAACTTACTCAACCAATGCAGGCAACTAATGCATGATGGTCTGCACATCGATATTTGCGCAGTAGTTTTAAAGACCGTCAACACTACTTGGCCAGAAGGGATTAGACCACACAGCGAGGTCACTGACGGGTGGCTATCTCATTAACTCAGCTCTCAACTGATATAAGAAAAAGAGGATCATGGGGGACCAACAGGCACCAATTGGGGAAGTTTTTTTTATAGAGGGAGCAAGTAGCTACAAGTAGGACAGTGGGGCTTTAAGACAAGATAAGATAAGATGGGAGTTGAACTTACCGTACATGATTCCACCACCTCAAACCATCTCAGATTACCAGGTAGCTTGTACTCTGTGGTGAAATGAGTCCTCTCAATCCACATAGTCTGTCAAACAAGAATCATAAGAGGACGCAAAATTACATTAATTAACTGCTCCATGAATTTTGCAAATGGATGTTGTAGAACGGGGGGAGGCGCGATGGCTTGGTGGTAGAGAATAGTCCTGTAACCTGGAGGTCCTTCGTTCAAAACCTAGACAACGCTCGTGCCCTTTGGTAAGGCATTAATCCTCATTACCAAGTCCCTTGGAGAGGATTTCGAGCCGTCGGTCCCCTGATTGATTACTTGCAAGCATATACATGCTTTCTTAGCAGTCAGGTACAACAATCATCATCAAACAAATGTTTCCAAATGGATGCTGTAGAACACTATACAAATGGCTCAATTATACATAAGACTGTCAAATATTTATTGATACTAAATTGTTGCTTCAATGCTAAGACTAAATTGGTGAGAGAATAGAAAGATGCAACTTCAAACTCAACACCTTAAGACTGTGTTCAAGAAATTATACATATTCATTACAATAGTACTTTAAAACCAATGCATCTGGTAATATTGAAGGAGATAAGAATATTGTTTTAAGGGGAAAATAAGTTTCACACAAGAGTGTGGACAATATGAACATTCTTGAGCCTGAATGATTTGACCTCCATAATCTCAGCTGGACAACTTAAAAAGCACTCGAATAAGACAATTCATGCAAAACAAAATGTTGACTTATATGACCCACCTTGAACTCATTTTCTCTGTCTTTCTGTTCTTTGTGAAACGGTCTTGAGTAGGTGAACTTCTGCACTTCATTTACAGAGTAGTAGCTGGAAAGAAAGGGTGAAGTTATTCTTTATTACTCATTTAAAGCCCCACTGCACTACTTGTAGCTACTTGCGCCCTCTATATAACAAACAATGCATAATCGGTGACCATTGGTCCCCCATGATCCTCTTTTTCTTATGATAACTGAGAGCTGAGTTGATGAGATAACCACCTGTTAAGTGACCATGCAGGGAGAACGTATCCCTCCCGTACACTAGTACAGATAAGCTTTAAGTTAGAATTATAGGGAGTCTTCAGTTCATAAACAGTAAAATCTTTCAAAATCACAACTAGTCACTTTGGTAAAATCTGCAAATAGTAATAGTGAACTTTTAGCCTAGGTTTTTTCTTACTTTCTACACAAGTTAGATGCATCCATCAACATATACAGGTTTGCCTTATCATATTTAACTTATAACGACGACTTTCAGGAACTTAGAACTGTATTGATTCTTTGAAATGCTAGAGCGCCACAATGGCAGCACAGCTAAAGCCGGGGTAATAATCTCCAAGTTTTGAAGCGCTTAGTGATTCTAATAATCGCTATATAAAAAACAGAGTATTATTATTATCATTATTATTTGGACTGTAAGACAAAGATTGTTAAAATTACATGTCCTATACTTTTGGCTTTTCATAGAAATCAAGAGAGAGCTTCTTTTTCTGGATATTGCACTAGAGGCTATGTTGATTAACTAACTTAGAATTGTATTTAGACTATAAAACAAAGATTGTTAAAATTTCATGTCCTATACTTTGGGCTTTTCATAGAATTCAAGAGAGAACTTCTTTCTCTGAAGATTGCAGTAGTGGCTATGTTGATTAACTGACCTCAGGATCTGCTCACTGATGTTCTTTCCTCTGAATTCTTTCTTGTTATCTCGCTTGGGCTGCACAGGTACAATTTGCAGGACTAGTAAACATTTGAATTAAGGAGTGCTTATAATCAAATCAAATTGAATCAAATCAATTTATTGAAATAGAATCCACAATATTGGATTATCTTCAATATACTTTATATTAAAGTTATTATTTACGATTAGAAATATACAGTTAAAATGAATACATTTTGAAGAAAGAATTTGAGTGTACTACATTTATTCATGACATAATCTTAATACAATATTCTTAGATTTTTTTCTTAGATTTTTTTCTTCATCATTTCAAATTCTTTGGGACCATAGTCTTAAAACATTATTGCCTCATCTTCAGGTTAAACCATACATTTGATTATTTACACTGAATATCCAATCAGAGTTGCTGTAACACAAATTAACGAATCATGAAATCTTAGTTCAGGCAAAACTATTCAATGTGTTCATGAAAATGTGGAGAAAAAAAAAGAGGTGATTATAGATCGCTATAATTAAACAGTTGATGCAAGGGCTAAAACATAAGGTGATGATGGGATGGAGGTAATAGGAGGGGGAAAAGAGATAAAATAATTGCTGAAAAGGATACTTTGTCCCTTGTTTTCAAAGAGCTCCTTGTCAGGGGGTGTGGTCTTGTTGAGAAGGGTTGCACTCGGATACAGCTGCTGTTGCCTAGCAACAAAGTCTGCTAGTCTCTCATACTCTTTCCCCCTGTAGATGAACACTCGATTCTGCAATGCAAGCAAATTACAGGTTTCTTTCGCGATACATAATGCATTGATACCTAATGACATAAAGACTTATAAAGACTTATCTTAGTAACATATTCAGACAGGTTGATCTGACACCTGTAACGGAAACTGAATCTAATCTCCCCCCCCCCCCCCCCCAAGCCCCTTCTGCTTACAAATGAAATTAGATTTTAAAAACACCACCCTGATATCTTATATAATGGATTGGGGAGGTGATGGCTGATTTAAAACAATCTTAGCTCTTCAATCTTACATCATCTATTTGACTAACATGTTTTGACTTGGTTCTTATTCAAATAAAACAATGCAATACTGGTCCACTGTAAATGGGTTTGGGGTTTTCTGTCTTGATTTCTGTCACATTAAAGATACAGTTGAGTTCTGGTCATGCGATTGCATTGTGAAAGAAAAGTTGTGGAATGGATCTGAAAAAGTTGATCATGTACATGTAGCATGTAAGTATTGGTGTGTACTGCAAGGTTCTGGAGTCATCAAAATCATAATAAATTTGGCCCAGTCTTGGTAAAGTAACAAGCACTGTTCACAGAAAGATATATATGGGACTACACAAATGGTGTTGGCCTACTAACCTTGATTTCCTTATCTTTCTATGCTCACTACTCAGCCAGGATACATTTTCTACCAAAATTGTTTGGCAAATGACATTTATTTGTAATCCTGAACATTCAGTGTAAGTTTCGTTTGATTCTGTGAGAATTCATTTTCTTTTTTTAACAGAACTCAAGTTTCTCTTTAAAAAAAAGCTTCACCCATGCTTAACAGGTGCTAGATATTCTCTCTTCTAACTGTTACTACCAAGGCAATGTCTGCAATAGAGTAACTGACCTTCAGGAAAGCTGGAAAGCCTTGTCCAATGTACCAGACCTTGAAGTACTCCGGTGATGGCCGGGGCACCTTCATGATGTTGTCATACAAGTTGGCCTGCCGCCTCTGTCAAGCATACAAACACAGCAAACGTTAGGAAGGGTAAATACTTATCTCTATGGTTCCGTTTCAAGGTAATAGTTTCAGAAATATTTGGACATAATGGTCTGAATACATATTTGAATACTGGATATTTTGTGACGTTGGTCTTGGTGCATATTTTAAGGACATGGATGCCAAACCAATTCAAATTAAGAAGGTACATGTCTCGGGAAGCTTTTCAAATCTTGAATATTAATATCTTGATTTCAATACTGAGATCTTAAATTTAGACATACACTAATCTTGGTTAAAAGACATATTCTGAGGTCTATGTCTCCAGACTTACTTCTTTAAAAGATATATTTTCTAATTATTACCTACATGTATACAAGCTACTTTTACCATGCGATTCAAATACATATTTTGCCCAGTATGATTTCAGTAAGGGCAATATTTCCTGGTATCTCCCTCAAGGCCAGTCAATATTCATATAATATGGACTGGCCTTGAGGGAGATATCATATATATTTCCCAAACTAGACTCACATTGCCCCGAGTCAAAGACGAGGGCAATATGGGTCTTGTGGGGGCAATATATGTGGTATCTCCCGAAAGTTAGGCCAGTCAATAATAATATAAAATATTCTCTCATAATTGAAGTCTCAGAATTATACCCCATTATCCTAAAAATTAAACTAAATAAAAGAAAAAGGTCTCCTGACTCACCAGTATTTCACTCATCTGAACATAGTCAAATGTCTCCTTCTCGTATTGATTGCACAGCTCCTTGCATAGGGCTATTCCCCTCTCCCACATCTAAATGATGGTAGAAAAGCAATCAATTTGTTCATTTTATCATTAAAATGTGATTTTTTTTTTAATTTTTTTTTTAATACAGCAATTCTGTATAATCTGGCCTTTTATATTGATAAAAGTTTTGTCATCTACATCAAGCAATATACAATAGTATAGATATAAATGCCTAACTACAAATGTTAAACCACAAATAATAAATGTGTCTACCGTGTTTGCCGGCGTAAAGGCCGCAGTATTTTTTGGAGAAAAAATATCAAGTCTGGGTGCGGCCTTTGCGCAACAACAACAAAATTCAGCGGTCAAAACAGCACGTCCATTTTAAACATATGGGACTACAATGACTATACAATGATACAGAACATTTCTAGAATAACTCCACACATCAAAGACCGGTAGACAGGTCATTAATAAAATCATCTTATAAAACAAATAATACACATCATTTTGTTTGGGCATTAGTAAAATTACCTACACTCGGTATCTTCAAAACAGTCCAAACGCCCTCGGCTATCGCCTGGGCGTGTAAGATTGTTCCCACGGTTCCTTGAGTGGGTAATTCTAACTAATGCCCTCACTGCTGTGTATTATTTATATAATAGCACATTTTTCTTATCGATAACATCATGGCAATGTTATGTTCGGTCACATGATGCTACAATGTATGTTGACTAATCACTGAAGAGGATTTCGTTAATCAAACATATAAAAATGAATATCATCATCATCATTGTAGGTATTTTCTCTTACCTTTCCCTTGTCAAAGAATTCAATGATGTCATAGTAGATTACTTCCTTGAGTTGTCTTTCAGTCATGGCTTCAGGGTACTTATCACTGGACGTCAGCAATGGAGAGTCTGACCACTGCACATGGGGTAGAAATCAAGGATGAGGTGGTGGTGGTTATTTTACCTGACTGCTAAGAAAGCATAAATGCTTGTAAGTAAGCAACCAGACGGCCGATGGCTTTAGGTCCTCTTTGAGGGACCTGGTAATGAGTATTAATGCCTTACCGAAGGGCACTAGCCCATCGACTTGGTTTCAAACCCGGGTCACCGGATTACGAGACCACTGCTCTACTGACTGAGCTATCGCGCCTCCTCAAGATAACTCATTACCGTGTTATCAAGACCATAGCACTGGCAAAATCCAACGACTGAAGCATAGTGTGTGCTTCATATTTCTGTATCTTATGACACACACAGTTGTGTCATTACTGAACGCTTGAAGAATTTTGTTGCACGAGTGCAGCTTCTTTTATTCACCTCCACTTGTGACTCGCAACATTGTTGAAGTTTGATAAAAAAACTGTGTAATTGTTTCTATAAATGTAATGCTTCCTGGGAGAAAATTCAATTATTTAAACATATTTGTGGCTTACACCCAGTAAATAAGATCGATTGATCGATTTGTATTGAAAAAACAAGTCAGAAAACACTGATAACACGTAGGGCCATGCATCTCCGATTTAACATTGTTGAACAATGCCTTAAACACTTTCTTTAAATTTCTAAGCGAAGATTGAAAAGCTGTACCTTGATCCTATCTGCTTGTAACTGCAGCGTGAAGCCAGCTTCTGTGTAGTTATCACATTCCAGATGCAAATCACAGAGTTTGTAGAGGTAGCGTGTATACATGTCCTGTCTGTCCATGTCTTTGTAGAAGTTCTGCACAAGAGATTAGAAACAAAGTTACCAAGAGATAGGGTAAGGTGCATGTATATGACTGTACTACATCGAGTCAACTTGCTCCAGTAAGTCATTAGAAGGTCAAACTTGGCTGCAAACATACTAAATTTTGGTCATTCATCTACAAACTAAATTGCATGGCACAATAATTGTCAGGATCACAAAAGATTAAACTAGCTAGATTTAAATGATTATTTACCGCTACTGGGCAGTTACACAACTACAGAGCTGGATCATGGCAGTGATAGCAAACAAAAAGCACATATCGTAATATCTCTCTAACATTTTGCTACAAAAATTAGGGTTTCCTATTAAACTTGCATACATAGAAAGCTTCATGACAAAAATAACAAAGGGTTTACTTTCCCTATGCATATGAATATGTGTGAAATTTAATTATTACTGCTTAAAAAAAAACACAGCAATTGGTCTATGTAGACAGCTGGCCTTTATAATGAGATTTTAATAGGAACACTACTCAGGTATGCAATAAAGAAGGCCTCTATAGAACAGGCGGTCACTAGAGGAGGGTTGACTAACCAAGAGATTGACAATGCAGCTCATTCTGTTCTCCTTGTTGTCTGTATGTATGATTGCCCTGTAGTCTAGAAGTCTGTCCAGCAGCTTCGTCACCAGGTTCACAAAGTGCACACCACTCTGATTTAAGTACTGATGCTTTCCACAGAAATCACACAGGCTGCATCAAACAATCAAATTAAAAAGTGAACATACATTTATATGCAGCAAAATAAAAATTGTCATGTTAAACAGACCAAAAGGTCTAGCTCAAAAATACCCAGACATCTTAATTGTAAAATCAGCCCAATTGAAAGATGTGAAGGAAATAAAGACTATACAAGTGAGGAATTTAGGGGGGAATGATTTACAAATGGAGATGAGCTGCACCTGTCAGCTACTATGAACACTGAACAAATAAAGCCTTGCCTTTTATCTCAGTGAGTTATCTCAGACTCTATTTGTCCAAAGTATTTATTTTTTTTTTTTAATGATGCAAAACATTTAGGACACAATTCTTTACATTTGCTACAAATCGCTACTGAACCCAATTATGAGTAAACACTAGTTACCTAATACTTATCTAAATCTAGCAGTGAAACCTTAATTATAACTTGCTGATTGGAGGTGTGTTGGTCTAAAGTATGATTCCACTCAAGGTTCAAAATGTAAACCGACTTACATTTCTTTGAAGAGACCTTTGAACGATAAATCTCCACGTCCGCCTTCTACCAGCGCATCTAGCTGACCAATAATCTCTCGCTCAAACTGTAACATTAAGGAAGAAAGGATTTGTGTCACATCAAAATTGAATTTTGGGGGGATAAACATAACAGACAAATAATAAATAGCTCCCATTTTAAACAGAGTTGTGATTGACGAAGAAACAGAATCAATGGCGAGTCCCTCATAGCAACCCATAGCAAGATTACAATTGGCTGTTGTTAATGCTAAGAGTTGCAACTAATATAACGCTCAAGCTGTACTTGATCTGGATCGACTCTTACTAAAAATGAGGCTCAAAGAATGTTGCTACTTTGTGGACCCCTGCTAATGTCAATCCCTTGAGATATTGCAAAATATTGGTCTTCTATTCGTATGTATGTATTGTCTATCTGACATCTGGGCACAAACGTACAATACAAAGTACAATGCAAGGTACATTCGACCAGGGTCCTGATTGAAACAATCATTGGCTATTATAAGATGATGACGTGGATCCTAATCAAAAGATTGGTTGAGAGCGTACACATGACCAGGCATTTATTTTGAATAATACGTAATTCAGATAATGACCGGTCATTAGTAAAATCATGCTATAAAACATCATTTTATGAAAGAAATACTCACCATCTTGAAGTTATTCTTGATGCTGAACTCACAGTTGATCATATCAAAGAAGATGGGGATGGTAGCCTTCCGAAGCTCCACCTCCGGTACCAAGGCAACCTCCAGGAATGGACCAATCAGACCAGGGATGAACTTGATCTTGTTCTTACCCAGATAGTTCCACATGGTACGGATGATCTCAAACGAGACCTCTCTCCTCATGTCTCCATACCTTTAGGGGGCATCAATGTATCAAGAATGAATTTAGATCTGTTGATTAATATGCACATCAACAACAACAAGAACAACAACAACAAACACAACAACAACAAAAGGTAATAAAATGTAAAATACTAAGAGTTGATAGCCATAGAAGTATACAATCAGTGTGTTAGATTAAAAGAAGTAAGGTTTTGATTAGTATTGATGGGATATACACGTATGGTCTTTGTCCAGTATGCCATTATATGATGCTCCAGCAACAATTTCTCTGCGGCCACATTTTAAACCTAGTAAAATTCCAAATATCAAAACTGGATCAAACACTTTACCTAACCACTACCCTCTAACTTGTTAGCTCTCAACCTAACCTTTCACCGATCACTTCCCAAAGCCTAACTTCATCTCACAGACAAACCAAAGTACATGTATGTAGCAAATTCTGCCAGCACACTGAGCATTAATGTCTGATGTACATCCCAGATAATGGAGAGGTCTGACACACTTGATGAGAATCCATGTACATTTATAGTTTAAAGGTAATACAAAGTTTTGGAAAATTTTGAAAATTGGGTGGATAGTGAATTTTTACAATTTGGATACCCTGTGGATGTATTATAAGCACTAGAAAATTAAGCCCTAAAACACTTCTGCTTTTGAGGAAAATTGAATATAAAAATTTACCGGTGCTCCCGGTAAATTTGAATAAATTTCAAATAGCGCCTACGGCCTTACAATGGTAGCTACGAGTCGACCATGAAAATCTCAGAATATGTAGTTGTGATATTTAATTTCCAAACGGGAGTAGCTAATCGGTCGATTTTAGTCAATAAACATTGTTTTATAGCTTAATTAATATCTTGACCTTGAAAGGGAGCTATACAACATAAAGAGTTTATTATTCATAATTTCATAATTTTAGACTCAATTTCTACCACGTTAACGATCCCTGAATATTGTACGATCGCATACGCTTCCAATTTGTTCATACCTTTAAGGATTGGAAATATTGATGTGATATAAATAATCATCCAATTTATCATGAATTTAATTCAATTAAGTTTACTCATTTTCATAAAAATCACATTACAAGAACACATACATCTGCAAAAGGTACTGGAAATAACATGCAAAATCTTTCACTAGAATATACATAAGTACATTAAAATATTAAAAAATAATGGAAAAGGGGAAGTTATAAAAGCCCAAATAAATGAGTTTGTCAAGATATCTCCCAAAAAACAATTAAACAAAATGTGATGAACATATTAAAGATTTGAAATTAAATGAACTTATTTTGCCCCAAAGAAAACTTGTATAACAACAGAAACAAACAAAAAAACCATACAAGCCCTAAAAATAAACACATACACACACATATGAAGTGGAAAATTAGCTGACCTGTCAATGATGTTATTGCGTTTGGTTTGTAAGAGGTTCTCAAGCTGCAAGGACTCTTGGGTAACAAAGGCTACCGACAGATGAAAGAAGTTATTCCAGAGCTGGAATTCAAAGTCCTCGATGCGCACAAAGGAGCGGTGAAGAACTCTGGCAAACTGCTTCATCGAATTGAGGATCACACTGTCAAACAAATCATACAGTTTAAATTCAAATTAAATTTTTAATTATTTTATTCAGCATCTAATGGGCTAAAAAAAAAAAAGATGTTGTATTGCCCTTTAAGTGCCAAAACATGGGTCGGTCGGTCGGTCGGAAATCTTTCTCTTTTTTTTCTCTCTTTTTTTTTCTCCCTCTTTGCGCTGATTTTTCTCAGTTTTAAATGCATTAATTTTTAATTTTTTCAAATTACCCTCTTTGGGCTCACATTTCTCAGTTTTGAATGGTTTCAGGAAGATTTTTAATTCATTACACATTTTTTTTCTATAGCCGACTGTAGGTTTCAAGATTTTGGGGTCGGTCGCAAAGGGCAATACCACATCTTTTTTGTTAACGCCTAAGTCTTCTACTGTGGTGTAATTGTGCAAACTTTTCAGTTCAAAGCAAAATAAATAATTAAATGATGCTATCTTCCGTTCAACATGGCTTCCTTAGCATCAGATATATGAAATACAGCATGGAATTACTGTTAATCATGCTTCCCATATTACTTTGAAATCATTTTGCAACTTGTTTTCATAAATTTTATCTGGTACAGAATACAAATCTTATTCCTTTACTGGAATTCCAGTCACATTTGATGTCGGGGCACCAAGGTCAAAACAAACCCAGCTTATCAGGACAGTGGTATGGGAATTAACTAATTACTGTGTGGCTCAAAAGTACAGAAGCAATCCTAACACATTTCAGACATACAAGCTGGCTTTCAGTTATTTGGTAAAATCCTTGAGTCCTGAGACCTGGGCTCCATCCTAAAAAGAGTTGATATCAATCCCAACTATGTACATAAGAGATAGGGACCGCAAACTTGCGACTGATTGGAGGACTTCCGATTGATTTAGATCAATCACAACTCTGTATAAGACGGAGCCGAGATGAAAAAGCTTGATTACACTGATTTGGCCTTTTGGATTAAGGGTTAAAACCAAGACATCCAAAACAGGTCATGAAATAGGTTTTGCTACATCACTGCTAACTACTTATAAAATCGGACAGAAGTCTGAAAGAATAAAGAATCCAGATATTTATCTGGTAGGATAAGACACCACTCTACCTGTTGAGCTGGAGGATCATCATGGACCAGTCGTTGGGGAAGACATTTTTTGAGACAAGGTCCTTGAAGACGAGGAAGATTTCCATGAGGAAGTCTGTAAGATCTGTCCTGGTAGGAAACTGGTTGATGTACTCCTGATAGTGGTAGTCACTCATCTGCCTCAGTAGACTCACCATACAAGCCACATACTTGCCCTGGCAGAGAAGAAAAAGTTTCATATCGTTAAACCCGTCATAAAAATTGTGCAAGTATTCGGTGGGCAGATTAGAACTTGGAATTGTTGTTAGTGTTGAACCCTAATTTTAAAAAACATTTTAGAGTCATGAATGTTCCACTCTCACAAATCATTCCACAAACACTAGGGCCCGTTGCATAAAACATTGATGGTAACTTTGCCATCAATGGCAACTACCATGGTAACAGGGCTCAACAGCCAATCAAATCAAGGTTTCCATTGATGGCAATGTTACTATCAATGGTAAGTTTTGTGCGACGGGGCCCTGATCTTGAAGATCAAATCAACTCATACAAGTTCATGTATACTCACAATGAGACTGAGGTCTTGCTGCATATACATGTAGATGACTGCCTGGATGACTGTACGCAGTAAAACATGCATCACTTCAGCTGTGTCTCCATGGGTACAATTCTACAAGGTAAGAAAATGCAAAAAAATAAAGAAAAAACATCTGCAGTGTACAGAATTCCGGTATTTGTTCAGTTTGGATATGGTAAATTCCAGATATTCGAGGCAAGGTACAAGTATCAGGGTTTGTGTTTCAATAATATAAGTCATAGATCGAGTATAGAGACTACAATAAGATTAGACACAAGATGATTTGACATTCATATATTTCACAATAATGAAAATATGTATTACACATTAATAGAACAGACGCAAAGATACATATAGGGTATTACGTCTAATACTTTATTTGAAGGAAAACGCCATATTAGAGTGAGATCATGTCACGGTTTCAGCACTTCAAAGGCAAACATAAAATGCAATTAATATATTACAATGGGTAAATTGTGAAGATTGACAGATCAAGATTTGACATTAACAATACCCAGTGCAGCCAGCCCTCAAGTTCATCACTGACTGACTGGTGTCCATGTCGTTCCTATATACTTGTATTTTAAAGGTAATAAAAAGTTTTGGTATGGGGTCACAAATTTGGTACAAATGAACATTTTGGAAGCATATGCGATCCTACAATATTCAGTGATCGTTGTCGCGGTTGAAATCGAGTCTAAGGTTATCAAATTGTAAATAATAAACTCTTTATGTTGTATAGCTCCCTCTCAAGGTCAAGATATTAATTAAGCTATAAAACAATGTTTCTTGGCTAAAATCGACCGATTAGCTATTCCCGTTTGGAAATTATACATCACAACTACATATTCTGAGATTTTCATGGTCGCAGCTACCATTGTATGGCCGTAGGCGCTATTTGAAATTTATCAACATTTACCGGGAGCACCGGTAAATTTGTATACCGGTATTCAATTGTTCTCGAAAGCAAAAGTGTTTTAGGGGCTAATTTTTCTTGTGCTTATAATACATTCACAGGGGCATCCAAATTAATATATAACAATTGTAAAGAATCACTACCCACCCAATCTAAAAAAAATTCCCAATACTTTGTATTACCTTTAATGTATGCAATGAGCATGGTCTACAGTTCTTACCGTTTCCTTCTGCCATAATGTATCGAGGATCTCTTGGAAGAGCTCAGCGCATGCTTTCATCTCTTCTCTCTTCAAGATGAGCATGTTGAGTTGACTGGTCATCATAGGAAGCAGTACTGCCCTGCATTCTGTCAAATAGAAATCATTAAAGGTAAAGACCAGTTTTGGAAATGCCCCCCTCTCAAAAAAATGAAATGGAAGCTGTTATTACCAATCATGTGAAAGAATATGTTTTGACTTTGGGGTAAATTATTATTATCTATCTGGACCGGATAGATATCGCGCATGTGGCGCGTAGTCCCATATACATCTTTCTGTGTACAGTGCTTGTAACTTTACCAAGACTGGGCCAAATTTCTTATCATTTTGTGATTCCAGAACCTTGCAGTACACACCAATACTTATATGCTAGATGATCAACCTTTTCGGATCGATTCCACAACGTTTCTTTCACAATGCAATCGCATGACCAGAACTGATCTTTATCTTTAAACAGTAAAATCATCTGAAACAAAGTTACTCCCAGAAAGACACATATTCACGACCTCATGTAAAACGTTTTTCTAAAAAATACAGACGTTTAAAAATTGCAACAAAGTTCATGCTGTTTTTACTACATGTATTTACTACAACAAATATGAACCACAGCAAAGTAAAGACCAATGTGCTCTTTAATATTTTTTCAGGATTTTCAAGAAATAATGTTAAATAACCATCAACATTACTCTACACTTACAGGTAATTCTTATGTTAGAGGAATTTATCAGAAATACATGTATGTAGGAGCCTTTAGTACATGTATCTCTACAGGTGGATATGGGCACAGTGTGAATATTGTCATCACTAAAAAATTAAATTCTTTCACAGTCAATACCCCAATTACAAAAATCCCTTCCACTTCAAGGTTTATTTCATCAATATTGTACATTATTATTGATATGAGGCTTCCAAGGGGTACAATAATCGGTGTATTCAATATCTTTAGTGCGGTAAACGGATGACCAAACAATATTGTTTTCATATTGCTCAGTCATCCGGGAACTTCAACTTAGCACAAAATAAGCGTGACACAGTCAGACATGCGCAAAGCAAGGTATGCTTATTTTTAAACAATGGGTTATGTAAATGAGTGTTTAAACCATGGATTAATTTAAACCTTCTTTGTGAATTTGGGCCAAAGCCATATTTACCAAAGGTAATTAATTCACAATTTTGTTATTTGGCTAGTCAGCCTAATATAGATAATAATAATAATAATATTATATGGCTTTGTTTTTGTGTGATACAAGAATATATTGCTCTCCCTATGACAATATTAGACTCGTCCAATATTGTCATAGCTCAAGCAATATATTCTTGTATTCCACTCAAAGCCATCCAATATGATATAAGTAGCCCTACCCCTGACTTTGAAGATCTCACTCTGGACAAAGTCTCTGAGACATTCGAGCTTCTGCTTGACAAGACGGTCTGGAGGGAGGTTAAGGATGAACTCCTTGAGGTGAATGGCAAGCTCCTTGGGGTTGAACTGTTGCATGGTGTCCTGGATGATGTGTGGAAGAAACCTCATGGCAGCTCCCTACACAGGATAAAAGAAATAATAATAATAATAATAATATGGATATTTATATAGCGCCGGTATCCGCCAGGCTCTGAAGCTCATGGCGCTGTACATAATAATTACAATCTCGAACATATCCCTTTCTTAACTCAAATACAGGTAAACTAAAACAACACAAAGTATTACGGTACGCCAAATTATAATTGTCCTAATTAAATAGCACTATTTAGAAATAGATGGGTTTTTAGAGCAATTTTGAAGTCATGGAGGGCTGTTAAATTACGAATACTAAGTGGTAGCTTATTCCAAAGGGACGGACCAGAATGAGAAAAGGGTCTATCCCCCCAGGTAGTGGGTGTCTTAGGGGCAACTAATAATGAGGATTGAGATGAACGAAGATGTCTTGTAGGCTAATACTTAACAATTAACTTCATATTGTAGGAAGAAGCAGATTCATACAAGGAATGGAAAACTAGCAACAACGACTTAAAAATGATTCGGTCACATACCGGGAGCCAGTGAAGAGTTTTGAGAATGGGGGTGATGTGAGTTCTACGAGAAGAAAGTGTGACAATACATGCAGCAGTATTTTGCAAATAAGAGTTTATGCTTGGTTTGCAATGAAGATGAACTCCACAAGACAGATGCCATAGTCCTGAACCTAAGTGAATACTAGTGGGATATACAGTATGACTTTTCTTATTAGTCACAATGACTTAAGAGGTCTGAAATCTAACTCCCTTTGTCCCATAAGACTTAGTTTCTGGTGAAGCACATATCCTTTTTGCTTCAGTCCATCTTATTCACATTCTTGTAGATTTATTACTTACTTGGCACAGTACCATAAGGTCATCTGTGTACGTCATCAGCCAGTTGAGGGAACGGAAGACCTCTCGTATGGAACACTCAAATCCTTGTTTACCCGTTGCCTCCCCGTGCAGACTAGTGGCAGAAAGTCACAAAAAAAATAATATTCATCAATCACTCACTTTAAAACTTAATTCCATTCAAACTAAAAGCCACTTCAAGCAATTTCCTGCCTCTCTCCATACGTGAAACCTATTGTTGGGAGTTGTAAAGTAGTATGCACATGATTCAATACAAGATAGACATCGCTAAGCCTTCACCTCACAATGAACTACACTACTCATTGAATGGTAGACTCACATGAGCTCCGTGAATTACACTCACAAGTACTTTACAATTGCATACAAATTGTTTACTTGTATCATTATAATTCTATTTAGTGTTTGATTTTTTAACACATAGATAATTTTGTAAAAAATATTGTATAATTCAGCGCCTGTGCTGCAATGCATATTTTTGAATAAATAAATCATTGTCCTCATTATTATGTATGGAATCTCTCAAAATTTAAAACAAATTGTGAAAAAAAATAAGAGCAAGGTCATTCACACTGCGTGCATCCCTGAAATAAGGTGGTTTTGATCATATAGCAGATACATGTATGTACATTATCCCAAAATAGATTGAATTAACAAACAAAAAAATGATCTACTAGACCATCACAAAGAGACTTAGAAGAACTTACGCCACAAAGAGTTTCCTGGACCTGAGGATGAACTTGAAGAGATACTCAATGGCTTTGAGAGCTTGTAGTAGCTGCGTAGGACTGTCTAACTCACCAGCACTGTCTAACAAGTCTTTCAATACTTTGGCAAGTTTGCTGTAATAGAACAATAGAAGTAATCATAATGGTAATAATGACAAACTTGAAGAGATACTCAATGGCTTTGAGAGCTTGTAGTAGCTGCGTAGGACTGTCTAACTCACCAGCACTGTCTAACAAGTCTTTCAATACTTTGGCAAGTTTGCTGTAATAAAGCATAAGGTATAATTATAACTGCAATACTGATAAACGAAACGGGCCAATCATCAAGACATGGTTTTCATAACACTACAGTCTATTGGGGGAAACGAGTATGGTAAGACCGGTCGCTCAAAGATTTTTACTTTTTTGAGGCACTTCTTGATCATTTTGAAGCGCAATTCTTTTAGGGCTTCAATATTACACCATAATATCACAGACACTGATAACACGTAGGGCGGTGCATCTTAGATTTAACATTGTTAAACAATGCCTTTAATTATGACTAATCATCATTACCCATGACATAACTATGCCCTTGGGTTTATAAGCAATCTATTTAGCTTTCAGTTGGGTGGTTTTCTGAGGGTACTACTTACTGGTCAGCGAATGTCACACTGTAGTGTTCATTGATGTATGTATCCAGTACTGGTCTGAACTGCTGGTACTTCCTATCTGCTATTAATCCTATGATGAACACCTGTATACAAAAAACAAATGAATAAATACGGGAATGCAAGGGATATCAGAGAAGTATTGGTCTTGTGAATTGTCACCACTCAACAACATTCATGTCTTTGTTCAAATCTGAAATGAATTTTTCATTTTGGAGCAAAGGCAACATACTCAAAAGTTACCTATATTGACCCGCTTTAAACTGACAGTTTCTGAAATGGCTAGAGGTGACTTGAATAATGTTTTAAATATTCACAAGTATCTGATATTGTAGATTACAGGGATGACACAGAGAAATTCCCCTAAAGGAGGAAGATTAAATGGGGTTCCGGGGGCAATGTCCCTGGCAGGGGTTAAGGGGGAAGCGCCTCCTTTCAGGGTTAGGGTCGGGATTAGTAGAGAGAAAAATAATCGAAAAAAATAATGATAATTTTTATAAACGGCCTTGAAATCTCGAAATCGATGGAGGGATCTCATCCCTGAAGTTAATCTTGTATGGCACTGATTGTTCAAACCTGCAACTGATATTTGCATCAATCAAATAATTACATAATAAACTGCATCGGGGGGGGGGGGGGAACTAATGGAGAGGGTTCTAACACGAGACTTAGTCTGCCTGTTAATGGACTTGTACATCATACTGGAACTGTACATGGTGTTGTGAAACTCACCACTGCGTTGAAGACTGGTTTGTCATACTCTTCAGACTGTGGGTTCTCGGCCATGATGCTGAACAAAGCATCTAATGTGTCTTGTAGGAACTGGAGGGAAGGAGAAAAAATAGAAATCATAAGCATTAGGATGGGTCATATAGCCCTCAAGTGCACCATAAAGTCATACTTGCATTGCTCCAATATCAACATAAGGCCTTTAAAAAAATATGTTGTATTGCCCTTTGCGACCGACCCAAAATGTTTTTTACTGTTTTTTAGCATTCAAGCATTCAAAACTGAGAAATATCAGCCCAAAGAGGGAGTTTAAAAAAAAAGATTTCCGACTGACCGACCCATGTTTTGGCACCTAAAGGGCAATACATCTTTTTTTTTTTAGGCCTAAGCTTGAGGATTGAGCATGTGTGACCACATACACTGTCTACATTGCTACAATATGGGTCTAAGTATTCAATATAAATATTTATACTAACTGGATCACAAATTCAACCAACAAAAAAACTCATGTCTTCAATTGCAACCCCACTGATAGCCAACCTTACAATATTATGTAGAATCATTATGTAGATCTGGTCACTAATTCAACCTTGTTTTTGATGAGGGTTCAGCAATGTAGTGGCAATTGATAATATTAAATGATCCCAACTTGAAAGTAATGCTTCAATTTTGTGGATAATAAATACTGAATCCTATCATCACACACAGTTCATTCTAATTTACATTGAGTGCACAGTCAGAACCTGCTTTAGTGACAGCCTGTCTACAAAGACCACCTGTCTACAAAGACCACCTGTCTAAAAAGGCCACATTTGCTGTTTCCCTTGAAAAGTGATTTCTCATTGAAACATGTACTAAAGGAACCTGTCTACAAAGACCACCTGTCTACAAAGGCCACTTTTTGTGTTTCCCTTGGGTGGTTGTTATGGACAGGTTTGACTGTATTTGTTATAGGAGTATAAATTTGATTATATCAAGTAAAAGTGTGTCAAAGTAATCATACCATACTATGTCAATTAAATACTATATTCCATACTACATACAACAACAATTTAGACATTTTGTTACAAGATGAAGTGTGGTTACCTTCACAACCTCTTCACCATCCACTTTCATGAGTGATTCAAGACTCTGTCTGATGGTATCAGGTTCTGCTCTCCACTTCAATAATCCAAGAAGATCAACTGTAAACAGATATTGCAGTCAAGGTATTGTTAATATATATCTTATTTGCTGAGTAAGAGAAGGGCATGGACAATTGGTTACATAGCTTTGTCTACGTTTGCAAATATGGAAAGTTTATGGACTCTACAGGATGATTTAATGTCTCTGTCTCAGTCTCCCTTCTCTTTTACAATGTCTTTTTCCCCCCAAGGTAATATTTCTCATGAAAGCTGTTGTTTTGTGCTACTAAGCATTTTGTAATCAGCTTCCTAAAACCATTTTTCAAATATTACAATTTACATTAACCTCCTCCATTCCTCTTATCTGAATTGCTTTTTCAAGATATTTTCTTCTCTTCTTTTTCCAAGTAGGATGACTTTGGGTCACATTTGTCTCAATTTTATCTCTGCAATTACTGCAATTTTATCTCTCCTTTCTCATTTTATTTTGCCTATCCATCACTTGCCACCATCTCCCTCATCATCCCCCCTTCCCTTCCCTCACCATTTTGAGTCAGCTTTGTAGAGCACACCACCATGGAGAGTAGAAACGTGTCTTAGCTGCCGATTGATAGACCATTCTGATGAATAGACATGCTCTCTCTCTCTCTCTCTCTCTCTCTTATCTTCTCTCTCTCTCTCTCTCTCTCTCTCTCTCTCCTTCTCTCTTCCTCCCTGTCATCCCCCTCACCTCTCTCTGTATCATGGTAAACCCCTTCTTACCATTCTGAGTCAGCTTTGTAGAGCACACCACTGTTGAGAGTAGAAATGTGTCTTTGCTGCTGGCAGACAGTCCTTTCTGATGACCAGATGCATGTGTTTGGGGCTTATCCTCAAAGGCTTTCGGGTCTTGTCTCGTTGAGGGTAGGTTCAGGTACGCTGTGCTCGACTCCATATTCTTGTCACACTGAAATAGTAGAATGTTGATACTTTGCTAATATATCTTTCATATTTTTACATAGTACAATGGGCCTTGCTTCATATTATTTCAACTTTTTGAAAAAAACAAAGAATTTCATCTAAACATCTTAGAGCAATGACCTGGCACAATTTACCTTACATATGAATTAAATTACCCAATCGACAGCCCTTACCTTATAGACGATGAGTTCATGTATTCCATTGGTGATGGTTGTACCAATGTCTGTCATTAACCTCAGGTAGGCCATAGCAAAGATCTTCTCCTGCTTGTCTTTAGCTGCAGGAGAAAATACAGATTACATGGTGAAAAGAATTACATTATCAGAAAAAACAGAATCTATATCTTAAATCTATATAATAATAATAATAACAACATTATTATTATTATTATCAAATCTATACTATCTGGATTCACAGGTACTCCGACAATTGCTCTGGGCTTTAATTTGTCACAAGCACAGGGTTGTGGTTACAGTGGCAATGGGGTCTCCGGGTAGGTTCAGGGTTTGGGTCAGGGTTAGGTATAGTGTTAGGTTCAGGGTGGAAGCTAGGAATTCAGTTAGTGTTGAAAATTACTACGGAGCAATCTTCGCAGCAGCATGTGTCGTACAACCGGATTCAAACACATGCATTAGCTGATTCAGTCAAGCCACGTTTACAACTTAAGCTTTGCAACAACTTCAAACTTTGTAACGTCCCTTTTGAAAACTTCAATAAACATGCATACAATTCATGATTTATGAGGAACAGACTGAGCGAGTTGTAAGCATTCTTGAATATCAGACTACAGTGATCTACACCAAATTTACATATATATCAGTCAAAGAGTCAAGACCAGGGATTTGGGGGCAGTTTAGCATAATTATCATTACAATACTACTCATCGTTACAATACTACTCATCGTTACAATACTACTCATCGTTACAATACTACTCATCGTTACAATAGGAAACTTTCACAATCTTTGAAAATCTGAGAAGAATTACAAAAGAGATATTCTTACCTTCTGTAGCCGATCTGTGTCTGAAAGTGAACCTGACGTGGGTGTTGTTCTTGCAGAACTGATCAATGGGAATCGCAACCTGGAAGAATTATTCCAACATTATGTAATCATTTACATGGTTTACAACATTCCCGAAATGTGACCTCAGTGCAATATACCTGAAGTCTAGTAATTAAACTCATATACATGTAAGGTTTGTTAGTAACATTAGTTTCTGTCCTTCGCAGCTTTAAGTCATAAAATACAATATCAAGACTTATTGATTGTACTTGAATTTACTTAAGATCTATCATTCACAACTACAGTATTCATTCTTACAACCATTCTCTGTATACCTATAAGACAGCAATGTATTGAACCATCTATTTAAACTACATTTTGACAGACAATACATGATTTGGGCCAAATAACAAAAATTATTTGTTTCTCGTCAGGGCATTCCTATTTACTATTTTGCAATTTTTTTTTCCAAGATGGCTGCCATGCTAATTACAGCTGGCCAAGCCTATTTATTCACAGATATTGTGCTATGTGAGTTTACTGATGCAATGTATGACAAAACAAATAATTTGTATCACTTTGGAAGATATTTAAACAAAATGTATATCACAGGCATTTTTTTTCTTCCTTTTTTTTGGGGGGGGGGGGGGGCTTTTTTTCCCCCCTTTTTTTTGTGTGTCTATTCTGAATAGTAAATAGTAAAAAAAAAAGAAGCGGGTGGGGACGAGAAACACATTTTTTATATTTGGCTTTACTGAAATAACAATATTAGGAGAATAGATGGGACTCTATACAGTATACTTCATAATAATTGAATCCTGCTATAAGTTCTTACCTTGAATATTTCATGATACTTTGGATTCTTGACCTGGTAGTACACCACTGATCTGTACTTGGAGTCTGATGGCTCTCCTGAAGCTAGACTTATTGCATTCTGAAATATAATAATAATAATAACATTTTATTTACCCAGGGTAGTCACTTCAGTTATGAAACTGCTCTTCCAGCGGGCCCTGCATAACATAATATGTTATTATTACCCTTCTCCAATCTACTATGCTGAGCGCCTAGGTAGAAGGCAGAAGGTCCCATTGTTATAAGTCTTTGGTATGACTCGGCCGGGGTTTGAACCCACGCCCTCCCGTTCATGAGGCAGGCGCTCTAACCAATGAGCCACGGCACCATGCCCGGTACAAAGATAAGAGATCATTAGCCATTAGCTGGACAGCTAAGGTACAGTAATAAATCTTTCAGAAGAGATTTTAAAAATGTAATATAATCAGTATTGAGAAGGCATTTATTGTATTATATTTCACACCTACACTCTCAAAATCAATATACAGTCTAAACCTGTCCATAACAATCACTTGGAAATGCTCCATGAGATTTCATGTAGTTTATAACCCGTACACATATAAGTAGTTTATAAAAATTCACATTTTTCACTATTAACTGGAAAAAAATGACTCTATATTAGTGCATCCAATCAAAAACATATTACTATCAATACAACTTGGATGCTGGTGTGAGGAAATAAGATTCTTAGGGGGAAAATGGAAAATTTGTATTATCAATATAAAGAAAACAATTGGTGGATAGTGTGGCAATGACGTCATAGACTCATAAGTGAGTTCCCAATTTGTCTTGTGATTTTCAAAATTTTTCAGGTCATAAAAAATTCATAACTTTCTTATTCGTTATCCAATTTTGCTCAAACTTGTTTTGATTGGTTTGTCTGATTTTTCTGCTTCTATTGAAAGTAACTTATTTTCGGAGTGGACTTGCCCTTTAAAAACACTCTCTATATAGAATCTCCTCCCCTATTCAAAGCTGCCTTTCCTTTTCAAATCTTCTCATTTAAAGCCCTTCCCCTTCTGAAGCACCACCGCCTTTTAAAGCAACTCCTCTATTCAAAAATTCTCTCCTATTCAAAGAACTTTTACCTTTTGAAAACCCTTCCCCCAATCAAAGTCCAGTCCCTATAGAAAGCCCCTTTCATATTCAAAACCATTCCCCTATTAAAAGCCTTATAATTGTTTTTTTCTTAAAAAACCGTCCCTTATCTTTCTTTTTCAAAGTCCCTCTTTTCCAATCAAAGCTCCTCCCCTATTCAAAGAACTTGCCATTTCCTTTCCGAAGCCTTTTTTCCCCATTCAAACTTCCTCCCTCATTAAAGATAAAGGTGAGTTCTGGTAATGCCATTGCATTGTGAAAGAAAAGGTGTGGAATGGATCAGAAACAGCTGATCATGTAGCATGGAAATATTGGTGTGTACTGCAAGGTTCTGGAGTCATCAAAATCATAATAAATTTGGCGCAGTCTTTGTAAAGTAACACGCACTGTACACATAAAGATGTATATGGGACTACACAAATGGTGTTGGGGCTACCTACCTTGATTTCCTTATCTTTCTATGCTCATTACTCAGCCAGTATACTTTTTCTTCCAAAATTGTTGGGCACATGACATTTATCTTGAACATCCAGTGTAAGTTTTGTTTGATTCTGTGATAATTCATTTTCTCTTTTACCAGTACTCAAGTTTATCTTTAATAGCCTTTCTACCATTTAAAACACTTTCCCTCATCCATTGTGGGCACACACTAGACTACACTCACCTAGGCCTGAGTCATCACGGGTTTTGCCGAACCCGGGTTTGACTTGAAAATTTCGGGCGGGGACCGGGTACCCGAAATTTTCACCACTGCACTGACACTAAAAATCGTGTGCATGCAGCGGCGGGAGTTAGACTAAGTTGCTGTTCTAATAATGCGACGGAAAAGACAGTTACTGCTTTCAAAACAATAAAATAATCAATGGAATTAAATTAAGATGCTTTAAAAAATAAATGGATATCGTTTCAGTTGACGGTAGGGGTTTTTATCGCTCTAAAATTGAGGCTGCAAGAAAGGAATCACGCTTCGTGGTACCGATCGCGTGCGTTCAGAAACGGAAGTGGAAATAGATCTATGACCCACTGAAGACAGTAGAGCAAGAAAATGCCACACACAAGACTAAAATGTTGATCAGACTATTGCAATTAAATCGTAATACTAAAGGCATTAATTTAATTGTCAAAATATATCCACAACATAATGGTTTACCCTTGATAGTTTGATGAAGGAAAATAAATTAAAGCTCTTGAAATAACATCGAAGTGCCTTTCGTTCGTTCTAAAAATGCGTGTATAAATAACGGCAAGCAGAAGTTACGAGTCAAGCTTGATATGCACGTTTACATCCCTACACCGTCATCCGGAACAATAAGCATTAAACCAATTAAAAAACATCACGGAAGACTTTAAGGGACTCCAATTCAACAAAATTACCGTAAAATAATTATTTGCTTTGACGAATAATACTATAGATATTCATAATATCTTACAGAAATAATGATATTTCATGAGCTACGTACTCGATATCGAGTTCAGCTAGCCATCATTTTGAAATGAGACGTAGTTGTCATACAGTAGACTGTAGAGGGCAGTATGCAGAAGAGAGAGGAAAAAGCGCGGGCCTGAGATCACGTGATATTCACGTGACTATTACGTGATTTTTTTTTTCCCTCTCTAGCTGCGAGCTGCCGCATTCTGCGCTGCATGCATGACAACTACGTCTCATTTCAAAATGATGGCTAGCTGAACTCGATATCGAGTACGTAGCTCATGAAATATCATTATTTCTGGAAGATATTATGAATATCTATAGTATTATTTGTCAAAGCAAATAATTATTTTACGGTAATTTTGTTGAATTGCAGTCTCTTAAAGTCTTACGTGATGTTTTTTAATTGGTTTAATGCTTATTGTTCCGATCAGGTCGGATGACGGTGTAGGGATTTAAACGTGCATATCAAGCTTGACTCGTAACTTCTGCTTGCCGTTATTTATACACGCATTTTTAGAACGAACGAAAGGCACTTCGATGTTATTTCAAGAGCTTTAATTTATTTTCCTTCATCAAACTATCAAGGATAAACCATTATGTTGTGGATATATTTTGACAATTAAATTAATGCCTTTAGGATTACGATTTAATTGCAATAGTCTGATCAATATTTTAGTCTTGTGTGTGGCATTTTCTTGCTCTGTCTTCAGTGGGTCATAGATCTATTTCCACTTCCGTTTCTGAACGCACCCGATCGGTACCACGAAGCGTGATTCCTTTCTTGCAGCCTCAATTTTAGAGCGATAAAAACACCTACCGTCAACTGAAACAATATCCATTTATTTCTAAAGCATATTTATTTGATTATATTGAAATCTAAGTTTGTAAATTCCATATTTTTAGTTCTATATTTCAAAATATCAGTGTGAAATTTAATTTTGAAAACCCGAAACCCGAAAACCAAAAACCGGGTTTCAGCTCGACGGTCGGGGCCCGGGCGGGGACCCGTTTCGACTCAGGCCTACACTCACCTCAAGAATGGTATTATCTTCCGTGCACACTGATACATTGACTTCAACATTTCTGGCTTTGGGCCTTGCCCCCCTGTCAAAGTCACCTTGAAGTATGGTGATGTACACATCATTCCTCACATCACCTAAAGGAAAAAAAAAAGGAAAAGAAATTGGCACAAATCAGCAAATGGATCTAGACCATATTTTGCATACCTCCTGCAGATGTATATGTTTATAAATCAAAATAACCCCACTAGCAATTCGCAATCAAGCTTTGTAATGTAACAATTGACTTAATAAAGATCAAATCAGTAAGAAAAGCAGATGTGAAATTGGAGTGATGTTACATAGAGAACACAGGACATACTTTGCAAGTCAATGTTTTTCAATCAAAAGCAAAACAGCTACAACAAACAATTTTTAATCAACGTTTTCATTTCCCAGGGTTCACATCTTTCATACAACAGCTGATTCTGATAATTACAGAAGGATATTGTTTCATTCTAATAATGCTTTCAACACGAGTGTGGATGTTTCTGACATTAAGATTCCACCGTGCCCTTGGAGTACCTACATCAGATGGTGAACATACTGAATAAGTTGATGGTCCCATGTGGTTTACAGTATAACAACAGCTGGTCTCTGATTAGTAGCAGGTGCATATATGCCATCTATTCAAACAATGTACACATTCTAAATCTATATACAAGAGCACCATATTTAAAATGTTATTAGTAAAGTTGTGATGAAAGAGCCTTTGTTAGTAGATCTTCTACTAATATCACCTGGATATGACACCATTCTTACTGTAAATAATAAAGCTTGTCCATAAACACTTTGTTCTTGTAACTATTTAAATATACTTGTACTTGCTTGTTTTTTTTACTTTGTAAAGCGCATAGAGAAACTTCGGTTTATTATGCGCTCAATAAATTATCTTTATTATTATTATTATAATGAAGTAATATGCATTGCAGAAGGGCTTCACCAGTAAAATTAACTCTTATTAAAATGGACCAGATAACTATCTTCTGTAAAGCGGAAAGCAACATAACCTTACTAACAGCATCCTCGTTTGAGGATTGCAAGTAGAAAGGGTCCTTCAGATGTGTTTGGGCTAACACATCTGAAGGCAAGCCCAATGAATCATCCACTAGCTCCATCTTGTATTCTAGCAAAACTTGCATGTTAACCATGACAATGCCCACCTATCTTGTGGTGTCATTGAACCATTTCATATTAATTGCCCAAGGCTTTACCTACCTGGCATAATAACCTCCACCTATATTGGGGTGTCATTGAACCATTTCATATGAATTGCGCAAGGTTTTACCTAACTGGCATAATAACCTCTGAAAAGCCCACCTATCTTGTGGTGTCACTGAACCATTTCACATTGCGCAAGGTTTTACCTACCTGGCATAATAACATCTGGAAAGCCCACCTATTTTGTGGTGTCATTAAACCATTTCACATTGCGCAAGGCTTTACCTACCTGGCATAATAACCTCTGGGAAGCCCATCTTTCTTGAGACTGCTGTCTTGCTGTCAAGAAGATGGGGATACTCCTTGTACACCTGAAACAACAAAAGAAATACAAACAAATAAGCGCTTTGGTACTTTTCGCTTTTAGTGCTCCTAAATATTTCATATCATTATTATTATGCTAGACAGTCCTGAAAGCGAGCCAACAAGAATATTCAGAACTTCACCTGTACCCTCAAACCAATCATAAACAAACAAACAAGAACAATTACAAATATCATTAATTTTAAAATCAAGGTGGGAAGTACATAAAGCATGATTACAAAACCTGCCTGCAATCTGGAGATACTGGAAGAAAATTTCAAGATTTCTACCCATGCAAAACCCTTGCTCTTTAAAGATGAAGTTGAGTTCTGGTCATGCGATTGCATTGTGAAAGAAACGTTGTGGAATTGATCAGAAAAGGTTAATCATCTAGCATATAAGTATTGGTGTGTACTGCAAGGTTCTGAAATCGTCAAAATGATAAGAAGTTTGGCTCAGTCTTGGTAAAGTTGCAAGCACATATTTAGCATGATAACAAACTCTTATAATGTTAGACATGGACTGACCTGTTTGACCTCCCCATGCACCATTTTGAGAGTGACCCATATCCCTTGACCTTTGTGGTTGACCTCTTTGGCTTGGACGAACCTCCTGACAACACTGTCAAGGCTATCATCACCAGGGCAACTAAGGACAACAAAACAAAACAAAACATATCAAATGTATTTTCAGTCATATTATTGTAAAATCATATATTAAAAACACACACACATATATATATATATATATTAAAAAGTAAGGACAGCCTTGTAAGTATGATCGAAGTGACACAATTTCATTGCCTTGCTTTTGCCTGATGTTATTTGTTATTTCAGGAATTTGAAAGTAATTTTTAAAAATAGAGTATTTTTTTTTCTTTAATTACTTTCAAATTCCTGAAATAACAAATAACATCAGGCACACCTAATATTATTGCAAATACATCATACTCTCATGAAACTCATGAATTACCTTCCCCTCTATTGATTCTCAAAGTATTTTAATGGGAGTTATTTTCAGAATAAATGATACGCTTGTTTCATTTTCATATTAGCTATGGTAAAGATCATTTATCTTCATTGATATTGAGATAATAAAAAAACCAGCAGAACTCCTACTCATACCATTAAGTAATTGAGAGTCAATTGATAATAGAAGAGCTGGGGGTTCATGAGATATGATAAAAGGACACATGTAAAAACAACCTAACCCACATTAAATCATACTGGAAAGCAATCTTTATTAGACTACTTCCTCTAGTCTCCGTCAAAGTCACAATATGTAACAATGATTTGAATAATAGACAGCATACATCTACAAAGATATATTTTCCTGGAAATGTTATGTTGATACTCACGGTTGGAATGGCAGAAAGTACTGTTTTTCTTCATCCGTGTCCACTTTTCCTGACACGATATCAGTGATTTCCATGGCTGCCACGCCCCATGGTCTCCTTAGTCCCGTTGTATACTTCTTACTGTGGTCTCCTTCCTTCAACTCCATCCGACCTTTGAAATAATCAGACGGACATTTATTTATTTATTTATTTATTGTGGTATAAAAAAAACATTGTACTTGGCAGCCTTTCGGCTGAATTGAGTGCAATTTCCATAATTAATAGCACAAGGATACTGCACAAAATACAATAGTATTAACAAAGTCATTAAAAATAGTACATTCATAACAAACAATTATAGGTACACCTTATATCAAAGAATATTGATGGTGGGATAACGGAAGTGGGTATGGATGTGGAAAAATAAATGTTTTATGATGGGACTTAAGCAAATTCATAGGAAGAATATACCAGTTGAATAAATTATGATCAGAGCTAAGAAAAATAATCTGTTTTGCATACTTCAAAGTAGGCCTATTGCGAAATTGTCATTGTGAAAGATGGATAGTATACGGTACTCACCTACTCTGATGATCTGACAAACAAGGAAGATCTTTTCTCTCTGGAGATCTTTCGCACCAAGGTCCTAAACACAATCAAGGAATATTATAATATTCAACGCCTAAACCATACATGTATACCATACAGTCAAACTTTTCTTATGGGCTACCTGTCTATACATGTATATTGTCACATGTGTTGTATAATCTTTCTATTGAGGTTTTTTACAGTAGAAAGCTTGATGTCTTCCTTGTGTGATAAATAAGAGTTGAAGAACCTGTCTAGAAAGGCCAAAAGTCTACAGTGGCTACATTTTCTGTTTTCCATGGGTGGTGTTGTTGTTGTTGGTAGTAGTTTAATGGCATTAATTCAGTATTGAATACATACACCATATCTTCGGTTTTAAAAAAATAATCAGTTTTCCATAAAGAAACTAAAAGTAAAAATTTGTAATGATATAATTAATTAACCAGTATCGCAATTTATTAGGAGTCTCTGTATGGTTTGCAACTTTGTATTTCTGCTTTTTTTTATGGGTGGCCTTCAACCGACAGGAGTTATAATTTGTTGACTGCTTGCTTGAGCCACGCCTATTATCAGCTTGACCCTTTAATAGTACACCATATTTCTATTTCAGATATTTCCCATGGTTACATGTACCTCTACCGCAGATTTCAAAGAACCAGGAATTAAAACTTTGTACACCTCTTACACACTCATATAATCTGGTTAATTAATTCACTTTTAGTTTATCACAGATGAGAGACTAGATGTGGTTTGTGGTATCGAGATTCTGATAAATGTTCTCACAAGTCACAGCTTTATTGAAGATTATTCAAAACTGTCGAACCTGGCCAAATAAAATTATTATCAAAGCTAAAACACAACTTTAAGGAGGTTTTTTTTCTTCATTAAAACAAATCAAATTCAGAAAAACCAGTATTTTGTCGGGACCATACATTTAGTAAAAGATATCTTCTACTACAGCATCTGGCATGAAACTTTATAATTGCACCATAAATTCTATATGCTACTTTATTACATATTCTAAGGAAATTCCAGATAAAACCTGTTCTCTATCTTCACTGATATTGTGGAAACGTAAGAACTCGATTGGCCATAAAATTATGCTTTGTCCTCTTTGGTACGAGTATACAAAATTTTCAAATAAAACAAATTACAAAATAAATAATCACTTTTACCATGATTTAATACTTATATCAAATCAAGACATGATAATTTTGTAACCAGACAGAGAATATGTGAACACTTACAGTGAAGAGAGTCTTGAGGTTGTAGAGTTTACTCAGATCTGTGGGCGTGCCTTTACTGCTCCATTTCACGATGTATGATTCACTGTTAAAAACAATTGAGAGTTAAAAATGAGACAGATCAAAGGAAAGCAGCATAAAATTGAGAAAAAATGGAGGCACAGATTTCACCCCAATTATATATCTGTCATCATTGTTATTTCATACTCTCAAACATGCTTTAAAGACCACCTTCATAGAAAAACCACCTTTCTTTTAAGATCAGATTTTTCATTTTACCATGAATATCATATCTCATTCAAATCTCTACTATAGCATTGCTATAAATTAAGACCACCTTTCTTTTAAGATCAGATTTTTCATTTTACCATGAATATCATATCTCATTCAAATCTCTACTATAGGATTGCTATAAATTAAGACCTGTCTATAAGGATCCCTTTACTTGCCTTTCTTGAACAGTCTATATACACAGGTGTCAAAATACAGAAATCCCTTCATTATATTACACAATAATTTTTGCCTTTACCAAAATGTTACATACCCTATTAACAGATTATATCATATCTCAACCTCAATCCACTGGATTAATATTATACGATGCTTCTACTGATTCAGTCTTTTAAATATTTAAATTTACACATGTGTTTCTAAGTTGATGTGAATACATGTATCTTCGCAATGTGGTTCTTAGTAGATTCTGGAAAAAATGTGGCAGCAGAGATTTATGATAAATGGGACAATCACAACCAATAGAGATCAGGTTTTGGTTTCCTAATCATGTACTTCAAACCTTGAACATGCAATAAGAACAAGGTCAATCCAATACAGTATATACAGGAGAGCACAGTTCAATAAACTTCTTCTAAATGAGGCGTTCACACAATTTGAAATCACAGACACTCCTCTACATACTCAGCAACAACCAATACTTCTACCTGATGCATTCACACAATTTGCCATCATAGAGACACGTGTTTGCACACTGGGTGAAAATAAATTCTACACATAAGAGCCAAGCTCGAAAGAATTACTCCTAACTAATGTGTTCACACAATTGGCCATTGTAGAAACTCACTCGCACACACTCGGTTAATACCACTAATGACATATAAGAACCTAGTCCGATATAACTAAACCTACCTGATGTGTTCACACAGTTTGCCGTCGTAGAGACTCATCATCACTTCTGAGTTCTCACCAATCTTACACACAACATTCTTCATCATGACGTAGAGGTTGTACGTGTAAACAGTACTCTGCTTCTTTGTCCTCTGTAAGAACTGTTCCATTCAGAGAGATCAATCAAAAGATAGAATATAAATCTTGGAAAGAGGGACAGTAAGCAGTACATAATGTGGTATCAATGAGGAACAATATTTTCTAAAGGTCAGATTGTCATATCAGCTTTGTCTCCTAAAATTGGGAACAATTATGTTTTCTAATCACTCACATAATCCTCAGAAGGTATAAATCAAATGAACCTGGAAAAAACGTTATTTCATGTACATGTTTAATTTAGCTTATAATTGATTACCATAACCTTTCATGTCTGTACTTTTCCTATCGCACTTTGTATAATGTATCATGTATGTATTTCATCCTTTGCACAAGCTGCACCTTGAGCATTTGACTGTCAAGTGGATTTGGCGCCTTATAAATCATTATGTATTATTATTATTATTATTATGTTTACACACACAAGAATGTAAATTATAGTTGTATTTGTGAAATATCTGGGTTATATAGATTATTGTTAGAGAAAGCATCTACATTGAGCCTCCAATATCAATATGCTAGTAGGAAATAAATTGTTATCATTAATCGCTGCTATTAATCAACAAGAACCAGAAGAAAGCCTTGCTGACAAGGAAACACAGGATGAAACTAAGTGTTAGTTCAAGTAGTTTTGAAGAGATTTTCACTATCCTGGACTGGCTGGGATTTTCAAACATGCATACATGAGCACTCCATTTGCAATAATTAGTCTGAAAGTTAACAATCGTTAACAAGAAAATCTCAAATGTGATTCACTGGTCAGTAACATAACCACTATGGACTATGACTATTTATGGTCAGTTATCTTTGAACAAAAATGTTGAAACACAACACAAAGGCCTTTATCCTATAGATTTTGAATTCACACTCAATTGAAAGTCAATGGGAAGTTTAACAAACTGAGGATTGACGAATGATTCAGGTCAATCACAATCTCTAGTAAACAAAATGCATTATCCAAACATTGAGGTACAGAGAAAGTGAGATAGAGAGAGAGAGAAACACACAGTCAGACAGACAGACAGAGAGAGAGAGGGGGGGGGAGAAAAAAAGAGAGAAAGAGAAAGGGGGAAAATTTACCGAAGTCTCTTGTTGTCCGATGATTCTCTGTGTTGCAACTTCATGCAGTCTATGAAGCGCCACCGTGCTAAGCATTGTAGGATTCTGAACACTGCCCTCTTCATCTCTGATCACAAGGTCAAGACCCAACTTCCTAAGATTGACGAAAAAATAAAATGAACATGATCAGTTTTAAAAACTCATCCTAGAATAAATATTTTATATGTATCTACATGTATCAACCACACAATCAACAATAAGTGTATAGGTGAGTGTCTTTAATACTACATAGATGTCTCACAGAAATATCCTTGCTAATCTTATATTTCACAATCAACCTCCCATCCCCTCCCCCTCCCCCCCCCCCCACCCCCAAAAAGAAAGAATAAAGAATAAAATCAAATCTGATCATTTGCATTTTGCAATTTAATAGCATAATCTTGCATTATGTCTAGAAGGTAATTTCAGATCTCAAAAGTACTCAAAATTCCTTCGAAAAGTATATTAATCTTTATTGCTCATTTGATTTTGCATATTTTCAACATTGAAATTTAAAGCATAGAAAATTGTGGTTAAAAATAGAAAATGTTACAATCTTTAATTAAAGGCTTCTTTTCTACATAATATACAGGTACATATTGACCTAACAAACATGTTTGACATACACGGATAACTAACACAGCATAAAACTTGCAATATGTAAAAAGATAGTACTGTTTAAAAACATATCACTTTGTTTTCTTGGGGAACTTGCTACCAATACTCTGTACTTTGGACAGTTTTCTGTCACGACAGTTTCTCTAACCACCCCCATGAAGAATGGAATGACCCTTGTTATTGACAGGGGTCAGTACAAACTGCTACAGGCATTGGAAGGTATCATTAAGTCTCCTGGGGTGAAGCATAGGATGCCTGCCTAGCATGCAGGTGGGTGGGAGTCAGGGTTAAATGGAATTCACATGAATGGAATGCACAGAGGAAGAAGGAAAGTCAGAACAAGTGTCCTCCAACAACACACACCCTTTTATAAGTCCCAATGTTATCATTAATTCCTATAGTAATTGATGGCTTATTTCATAATTCATACCAGTGGTGTAGCTATTGTGCTGTCCCCCCCCCCCCCCCCCCCCCCACCCAAAGCAAGAGAAAAAAAGCACCAAGTTGGACCAGTGCCCGCTCAATGGAAGAACCCACCCTGCACCCCACAATTCCACACATCATTTAATAACCATTTTTGCTGATAAGCAATATTTAGGGTATCAACAAGCAAACACAATAATAGATGGAATTCCAGCACAAAAATTCTTTACAATAATGGCAACAATATAGACTTGTGCTGTCAAACTTGTAAACAAATCCTTCAAATAGAGGTAAACTGTGGGTGTCCCTTTCACTTTAATAGCTATGGCTTAGGATCACAATAGCTAAGTTAACAAAACAGTTTAGCTCATTGATTTAAACTGTAAGGATATCTTGTAGTTAAGGATCATGCAGACTCACTCCTGCTTTAAACACTTCAAAGGCTTCTCCGAGTTTTGACTATAAGTGATCTTACAGTTCACGAGAAAATTAAAAGCGGGGGGGGGGGGGGGGGGGGGGGGGCGTCTTCACATATGTCATGTGGACACTCTTACATGTAACTTTGAGTTTTCGATATCTTGACATTAAAACGACTTCTTGCCCAGCTTTTAAGTTTAAAACTTAGGGCAATCATTGTGTCAGCGTCATGTGAAGCTGCATCATTTGTTAGTGGGCTGTTGTTTAAAACTTTGAGGTGTCACAATCTGAAAGTTTAAAACCATGATGATGCCCTGCGAACATAGCTGCTATTTACTGACAAGTGCCATGTATACGGATAGATATCAAGATCTTGGCCAACTTTTGAGGTGGAAGCATCATATGGTTTTCATATTCATGCAATACAATGTAGCTTAAACTAGATGGAATTCGACTGCGCGCAGTCGAAAATGATGCCTCCGTCATAGAGCAATTTTACAAACCAAAACAGAAGACATTTTTCGAATTCAAGTTCAATTGTAATCCATTAACAGGTTCTCAGAATATCGTGATTACAAGCAATTTCTCATATACATATATGACCCTTTGATCTTTGACCTCATGACCCTAAAATCTACTCAGTTCATTGGCTCTGCAAGATGTCCTGAGTTAAATAGTAATCCATCTGTCAGTTCTAATGAGAATGTGTTCACAAGCTATTTTTGCATACATAATGAGCCCATGACCTTTGACCTTTGATCTTATGAACCAAAAATCTACTCAGTTCATTGGCTCTGCAAGTAACATACATGACCTAATTTTGGCAGGAATCCATCAATCGGTTCTTGAGAACGCGATCACGAGCTGTTTTTGCATACATAATGTGCGTTGTGGCCTTTGACCTTTGACCTCATGACCCCAAAATCTAATCAGTTCATCTGCTCTGCAAGTAACATACATGACCTAAGTTTAGCAGCAATCCATCACTCGGTTCTTGAGATAACGCAATCACGAGCTGTTTTTGCATACATAATGTGCGCTGTAGCCTTTGACCTTTGACCTCGTGACCCCAAAATCTAATCACTTCATCGGTTCTGCAAGTAACATACATGACCTAAGTTTGGCAGCAATCCATTACTCGGTTCTTGAGATAACGCGATCACGAGCTGTTTTTGCATACATAATGAGCCCTGTGACCTTTGACCTTTAACCTCATGACCCCAAAATCTAATCAGTTCTTTGACTCTGCAAGATACATACATGACCAAAGTTTGGCAGGAATCCATCAATCGGTTCTTCAGATAACGCGATCACGAGCTGTTTTTGCATACATAATGAGCCCTGTGACCTTTGACCTTTGACATCGTAACCCCAAAATCTAATCAGTTCATCGGCTCTGCAAGATACATACATGACCAAAGTTTGGCAGGAATCCATCAATCGGTTCTTCAGATAACGCGATCACGAGAACGGGACGTACGTACGTACAGACGTACGTACGTACAGACGTACGTACAGACGGACGGACGGACAACCCGAAAACATAATGCCTCCGGCTACTTCGTAACGGAGGCATAAAAATAAACCTACTTCTTATTTACCTACATTGTACCTGCTCATACACATGTAAGACAGCATTAAATTTCTGGGTAACTTTATACATTTTTAATCAGGTAATCGTGTGCATTTTCAAGAGGTTACTTCCCTTTATCCGCCCATCTTCCTTCCTACTTCTAACATCCTATCAAACAAGTTTCAAATCCTTTTTGTTAAAGTATCATGTGCAAAAGAACAATTTCCCTTAATGTTGAAATGGATTTTTGGCACTCCCAATCAAAAAGTAAACAAAAAGTGGTGTGAGAGAGAGAGAGAGAGAGAAGGCAAGTACTCTGAATGATTAAATGTGTCTTTTACATACATGTAAGGCAATAAAGCTGTCGCACGATAACTAAAATTAGATTAGCATCTACATGTACATGTAGTTTGCTTCATATTTCTTTATGTTAAGATGAGAGGGTATGTATAGGGGTCAATGTTGATCACAGTTACAATTTTGCCCCTACAACATTGCTTTTGATAATATTTACATGTACATGTATGCCATGGTGGTTTCAATAGGTGATTTATCGCATCATTTCTGAACGACCCTCTATTTCATACCTCAGTCACACCGCTATACCCACTCAAGACCAACTCCAAGCTGACTGAATTTGACCATTGAGGGTAGTGTGCAATTGGTTGTTTGGTCTTGGGTCAACTAAAGTTGGTCTCCGTGTGACTGGGGTATGAGCATTGATAACTGACCTGTTAGTGAAATCTATCTTGGATGTGACATGCTGTTTCATCTCTTTGATCTCATCTACCGGTAGAGTTCCGGACATGATCTGACGTCGGCAGTCGATCAGCTCGTACAACATCTTGTGGACCAGGTCGTACTTCTCCACATCCCGCTTCTGTATTAAAGCATGGACACAAAATATCATGTGAATACTCAAATGAAAACATCTTGAATATTGCACTAGTAATGTACATTACATGTATTTGAGCAGCTCATAGTGTTCAATTGGGAAATGCACATTGTAATGTAAACATACTGTAGCTTCATAACCAATTCTCTTGAGCCATTGTGCATGTAGACTTTACAGTGTATGTACGTTGTAAGTGTGACTACAGACAGTTTACGAAATTTAATTGTGACTGTAATGCAGCTCTTATAATGTAAATTAGGTTCCAAATTACAACATCAAACAATGTGTCTGCACTTGATATTAGTCAGGCGCAAACCATATCACTTTTTCTGAGGTGGGTGGGGGGGGGGGGGGGGGGCAAACTGAATCAGAAAATACCGATGCATGTCAAAAACAAATAGAAGTAATTTGATGAATAGGAAATAAATGAGTCATTGTATCCTTTTTAACCATTTTGTAAAAGACATTCAAGTATTTTATCAATCCCTATTCCTCTTTAATCTGCCAAATAATTGGGGAAAGATGGCAAAAACACAATTTTTGTATCAATTCCATCAGCATTCAAGAGAAAAGAATGTTCTTAACATCTTTCCACAGGAAACAGGTATTGAGAGAAGGAAGTACTTCTTCTACTCTAGTTCGGATTTAGTCTCTATAATCATCTTGTGGCTTTTCTTTCCAATACATGCTTAGAGTACTGTGAAGAGATTTCCTTTGACAAGCTGATAAAATACACTGGTACATTGTAATTGAAGCGTAAAATCTGTTCTCGGTATGGCTTCTAATTTCACAAAGGGGATTTTACTTCAAGTTTTGAAGAGTTCGCTGGTCTCCTATTCATCTAATAAAACTACAATACATGGACATGTTCTGTGCATGTATGTACACATGCACACATTGTGTATGTTGCCTTGTAAACGAAAGACCCATTGGCATTGGGCTTTAGGATTATGAAATAACACTCATCTTTGGTTGAATGCATATGAAATCTTTATAAGGTATGGGTGGCGGCCGGGTGGGCGGGCCAGAGCAAAGGGTGCCCAAATCCATTAATTCCTCAGCTGAGCTCTCAGTTACTAGTGTTAATCTCCTGAAACGCAGTTTGCACATTTTTTTTCTACACATCCGCCAGGAATCAAATTAATCTGGGATCCGAGTTGCTTGCCTGGAACCGTAATTTGCCAATGAAATGTATATCAAATGGTTTAAAAGAGGATTTCAGTATTGCGGAAGCCAAGCTGATATTAATACATAAATGTAAATTACAGATTTGATCATGGAAGACTCAATTATCTACTGAACTTAAACAGTGTATTCTAATGAGTAGGCTTATAATAGGTATTACGCTGTCTTTAAAAAAACACCATCCTATAGAATAACAAACAGAACCTACATGTACAGTAGAAAATATACTAATTTTAATAGACTATCTTTGCTTATGTTTTTAAAAGAAGTGAGACCCTTCTACTAGAAAAACAATCTTTCTATTCTTGACTCTCACTTAAAAATAACTTATGTACATGACCCATGTTTATACACAAGCAATATGGAGCCCTTCCCAATGGGCAATGTTGAGTTGTGTTTTATCCTTGGCCATGTTCCATTTTACAATCAATGCATAATTCAATTTCGACCCCAGACAAGATGTATTGCTCTAGTACATGATTTCATTCAATTTGCTCAATGCGGGTTATCGCTACATCCAGCTACATGTACAAGCAATAAGAGCAAGGAGAAGGCTACATTGAAAATAATTTGATAGACATGTTGTTTTGTTTTCTATCCCTGCATTCCCTCAAGTGCTCAAATAGCTCCTCAATACATAGTATATTTAGTTCTTCTGTTCACTGACTGTACTGAAATTTAAAATGTCAGCAAGCAACACTGACATCAACATGCATGAAGATTTTAGTTTGGTCCAAAATTAAAAATAATTCGAAATCAATCAATTGTACAGTACATGATCTGCAGAGAATTTTTCAAATTGATTTCAAAGAATTTTAATTGATGGAAGACTTTTCTAGTGAGTAAGTAGGACATTGCTCTCCTATGCCTCACTAAAAATCAAAACAGTCTTGTTATGGTCAGAAAAGTATGCAAGCACACATTTTTATGGTCAAAATTTTGGCTGAACTAGTGAACTTTTCTATTGTTCCTTTTCTTTCAGCATGATTGAAATTGGAGGGTTCAATTCATTTTGGATTCCTCTTTTGTTCCACTAAGAATGGAATTCCTTGAACTGTGTAAGTATGCACAAGGGAGTCCGAGAAAAGAAAATGGTTCAGCTGTTTAGGGATTTGTAATACAGAAAAAGTGAGATTTCCTGGGACAATTTTCATTATACTTTTGTTTGTTTGAATTAGAAACATAATCAAAGAAAATCAACTCATTTCCATACCCCATTGCATTACCCATGGAAATCATGTTCAGATTACATGTCATTGTGATGTTCACACATTTCAAAAGGTGATTCACTACCCCCCCCCCCCCCCCCCCCCCCCCCCACTAAAAGCCCTTGGGTTGATATTTGGAAGTCTTTACAAACTTGTTCTGAGCTCTTATTATGAAGCTTTCTACAGCTACTTTGCTCACTTTCCCCATGTACTTTCTTTCTTCAGAGTTTCTTATTATTATTATTAATATTAGAGTGTATTGCAGTCAAACCTGTCTACTGGGGTCACTCATCTCACAAGAAACAGAACATGGCCACTGTGGACAGGTGGTCTTTCTAGCTGGGTTCAACAACACATTTGATATCCCGGAGGGGACAATATACAGTACATGTAGGTGACCAATAGACAAGTGGCCTTTATTTATAGTGAGGTGACCAAGTATGTTTTTAGTGCGAGGGACTTACCAGAAAGAGCTGTTTCCATAGTATGCTCCATTCTCTCAGGACTGCTGTCAGTTCTTGTACGATGGGAATCTCTTTAGGTGTCACCTTCTCATGGTGCGTTTCACTGTCACAAACAAAACAAAACAAAACAAGGTGGTGTTGACATTGAAACGATGGTACTTGACAGTCAGATGACAAAGTTCAATGCAAAGTATTTGTGAAAAATTAAAGGGTAGAATAAAATCAGATCTCCTTCATGCTATACTTCAATAATATTAAGCCTATTGTACAGGAAATGTGATAGCTTGAACTACAGTGTACCTACATGTACATGTAGGTACACTGTAAGCCCCCTGTACATTGTTCTGCTTATCATTCAGGTGGTATTTTGTTTGGACGAGGGGAAAGTTACTCAAATTAAAATGAACATGAACATGTACTTTTTGAATACTTGTGCGCATGTACATGTACAGGGTAGTACTATTAATCGGGTCAGTGATCTGTCTTTCACATACAGTACAGGGGCATGCATGTACTGTATGTCTACATGTTGATAAATGTACATCCCTAGTTGGCCCTATCAAAGAAAAGTACCCATCAACTTCAACATGAGAATATATCGTACCCGGATAAATGAATGTCATTTATAAGCAAGATACCCCACCAGCACAAGTACCTATAATACCCAAATGACCGTCCTTAACTGGAACAATATGAACATTTCTAAAAATAATAGCAACATCAGAGAGCTTTCATTACTTCTGCAATAATTTCAGTACGTACATGTACTGTACATGCAGCCCTTTGATCGGGTACTTCTACTTTGAACACAAAAATAAAGGAAAAAAAGTTATGCCCCAGAAGCTATTAATGGCAATAAAGCGGTAGTCACTCCCAAAATGATATTCAATGAGTGATGAATCCTAAATATATGTCTATATGTAGCTTCTATTGACATAAATTGTATTTCTGTGAATGTAGTAGGTATATTTAACAATGTAAACATGTGGGTTAAAGTACAATTTATGTTGACAACTTCACAAAGATCCAATTGATTGCAAGTACATGTAGTTCCGAATCTTTTTATCAGCTTAACATACATGTACATATTTAAATACATGTAAGCATCTCTTTGGAAATTACTGCAAACACTAAAAAGTGATGAATGAAATAAATGTACTGAATAAATATATGCTTGGGCTTTGCAACAGGTCAATGGATCACTGTTAATATCAATAGGCCCATCTACACATCCCAAACACCATTTTGAAATATCGTAGATTGCAGCTATTGTGTAACCTCTTGTTATCACATAGTTTTGGAATTTACCGCAGACTTACAACATGATTGTACACCTACACACTGTACATGTTCATTATCCATACCTACATGTACACCTACATGTACCACACTTTAAAACCACAAAAAGCACTGGAGACAATATGTTAGAATGCTCACTGAAAGAACAATAATCTGAATCATAAAGAACAATTAAAGGTAAAGACCAGTATTGGAAATGCCCCAATTTCAAAAAATGAAATGGAAGCTCTCATTACCAATCATGTGAAAGAATATGTTTTGACTAATACATGATGATAAAAAATTTGCCGGGAAACCGCCTACTAATTCATATATTTGGTAAATTTGTTTCTCTCATGGTCTGTGAGAGATATAGGGTAATCCCATATACATCTTTCTGTGTATAGTGCTTGTAACTTTACGAAGAATGGGCCAAATTTCTTATCATTTTGATGATTCCAGAACCTTGCAGATGCTAGATGCTAGATGATCAACCTTTTCTGATCGATTCCACAACGTTTCTTTCACAATGCAATCGCATGACCATAACTGGTCTTTACCTTTAACTGAATCATGCATACTATTAACTGTGACTTAAAATATTCCTCAGAGGCTTTTAAATGAAAGATTTTCATACCAATCATGAATATGACAAACTGAAGAATAGGGTATTATAGACCATAATGTACTTTGTATGAATGCACACAGACAATGACGCTTAACACAAAGGACCCCACTCAAGGCAAAATCCCAGACCACACAGTCAATAGTATGCATGATTTATACCCAAAGTATTCCACTTTCGATACAAGTTTACTCAGAAACCAAAGAATGTCTCATTTATGAAATGACCTGAGTTCTAAGGTCATTTATACACCACTGAGTGTGTCATGTTGGTAGGTGGAATAATAAAACTGACATTTATATTGGCTTCTCCGCTTGCTAGCAAAGTACATGTAGCATGTCTCATCCTCTTGTTATTTCTGACACCTGCTGTTGTTACTGACTATACATTGTACAAACTGTACATCTACATTATGAATATAAGTTGTTGAGTATCTCTTTAATATTGATTCCTCCCTTTTTGTGAAAGAAATATATGAACAATAAAAGTAGGGAGAGAGTGTGTGACTATGTAGATAATTTTGAAACCTGCAAAGAAATCATTGATGCACCAGCACTGTATTAAAGTACAGTGCATGTACATGATGGCAAACGATTATGATCTCTCACTTCTGATATCGACAGATATTACAAACATAAACAGATAGAAACGAGCCATGTAACTGGGGCATACAGCTATATATATATAAAAAAAAACAATGACATTTCACAATGTAGGGGCATAAATCCTTGCATAAAATATATTTATACATGTACACTGCATGTGCACTTAGTTCCTCTGGTATTTACTAGTAATCTGATTTAGTCTTTTCATGGGGGAAAGATTACATATAATGGCATACACGTCATTGCCTTTCCTGAAAGAAAAAAAAAATTAAGGCCATCTGCACAATCATCACAACAAAGTCATTTAGACCCGACCACTTCAAAAATATTTGTGTAGGAGTACATGTGGGGTAAACAAAAATGATGACATTGTTATATCATTTAAAGTTAGATCTGTCATATCAATTACAGTAGTAGATCCTACTACATATTAATTATATTCACAGAAAAAGCACAACTCCCACATATATTTGCACATAAAATGTTTATGTAGAACATTGCTATGTGTACACTGTATGTGATAAAACAAGAAGGTCAATTTTCATTACGGCTGCACTATTAAACAATTTAAAAAAAATCATGGATGAATTCATAAATATAGAGATTGTTAGATAGATCACAGGATGTTGTATCGGATTCTGCCCTCACCAAAACTAGATATTACCTTTAAAAGTCAAGAGTCCTGTTTAAAACCAATGGTGCGTTTCCAACTTCCCCACAAGGAGATAGCAATACCAAAACACCAGCAAAACAACTCTAAAAATCCACAATAGCCACATCCTACATTTTAAGCCCTATTAATGGTGCCAAAAAAACAATAACATTATACTGTAGGTTGATTACTTAGCATTACTTCCTACCTAGTTATTTCTAACCCTGTAACCGATCATTGGATCGGGGGCTGGTAGTTGTCTGATCAGGTGAAATCGGATAATAAATTCTGATCGCTGAAAAACCGGTAGATTTTTTTTTTTTTTTTTTTTTAGCCGAAAACGTTCAAGTTCAAATACTAAAAAAAACATGCATACATGTAGCTGGGGTTACTTCGTCATTTGGAGTTGTTGTAGACCAGGTTTGTTGATAATTCAGTGCCTTTTGAGTTTTCATGACTTTCAAATTGATAGAAGTCCAAGATAAGAGGCAAAACATGCGAGCCGCCATCTTGGATTTATGTAGGTACGCATTTTTTTCCATTATCATTTAAACGATACTTTATGCCGATAATTTTTGCTGATACAGATCAAAGGTGCGAGGGTGTCACTCCGATCTTCCGATTCGTTCAAAGCCCAAACTTACAGGTTTAGTTTCTCCACAACTAGAAGTTTATAATCAAACAACGAGCATTTTGGAGTGAGTTTCAAAAAGCCTTCAGAGCTTTGTATGAACAGAGTTTGCCAAACATGTACAGTAGTTAAATACAGCAGTACAGAATTATACAGGCCACTGTAGCCTGAACTGTGTTTGCTGACATAATTACAGTGATTAAGCCATAAATCTTCAAACTTCAATATGAACAGGGTATTCCAAGTTAATGCAGTGATTATGCCCTGATCAATGCACAAGCATCCAGGCATGGCACATTTTACCCTTTACTTTTCTGTTGTTGTTGCAAACGACTTGAAAGTAAATTGCCTGTGTGAATATATTAGAGATCGCAGGTCAGACCCGCAGGACAATAATGCTTGTTTTGGTTGTGTGCTGTCAGAATACTAGGCTTCAAAATCATGCTGGTTATCCAAGTAAAATAGTCTGTGACCTTTTACCTTCCATAAATTCTTATCTCAGGAAAGAGTTTGCCTACATGTAAATGTAATAAAAACCCATGAAGCGTATTCAAGTGTAGCTCTACAATATCAATGTCAAATTTTAGTGGAGTGCATTACTGAACAGGCCAGACGCAAACACATCCTCTATACATGTACATGTATGTGGGAAGTTGTATTTGCATAAATATGAAACATCCCATGTTTCTGAAAAATTATCATTCTTTCAGTTGCTAAACTAAAATTCTGAGGTAACAGCTTCAGAATGCAAGGAATGTACATTTATGACTCATTGTGGATATCTTGTATTTTCATTCCCAAATGCATTAAAGTGTGTGTGTGTGTGTGGGAGGGGGGTAATGTACAACATTTCTTGCATTATCATTCATGTATGTACATGTACACTGTACATGTATGTAACTTACCCGATGGTTTCCACAAAAGCTTCCTTGATATATACATAGCCTTTGGGAAAGATGCCCTGTTAAATAGAGAAAGACAAAACAGTTATGAAGTTTAGAAAATATAAATCATGTTAAAAGATACATTCCATTGCCTCTAACCAATCTTCCTTGATAAAACATACATGTAATTTTATCAGGGGGGAAAATAAGATGGTTATGACTGTAAATCGTGCACTTAATTGCTCTCAATATTTCAATGGATATGACCACTTATAATTGTAGACACTACATATACATGTAGGTCAATAAGCTAATATGTAGGCTTATATATCAATACTAAGATGTCTCTTCATATTTTGGAGTGGCAATCATTCCTTTTTGAAGTGGTTACCTCTTGGGTCAAAAGTTGATGATTTTATTTTGAGCTTTGTTCCTCTTTCAGTAACACTTTAGAACATACCTGTACATCAATCTTCAAAATATCAGCTCAAAGTGTAACATCCCCGGACCATTACACTTAAACTACACTTGTAATCTCCGCTTCATCTTTATATTATTTATTAGCACTTGATTAATACTTGGAAAAGAGTGCTAACATGTAACAGTATACCGTGGGGGTCAAAATAAAGTTTACACCAAGAAAATTGCTAATTATTTTTAAAATCTGTATGAACAGTAAATTATTATACATCGTATGAAAGAGTGTTTTATTCCAAATCATTTGATATCATTTTTATGTGGTATGAATGAATTCATGCTTGGATAAACAGGAGGCATTGTTTGTGAGAGTGCAAAAATCGACTTGCGCCAAAGTGATGCCTACAGCATGTTTTATGTTGGGATTTAATAGCAGAGTGAGAGAATGAATTGAAAGTATCAAATGAAATGCATTGCATATTTTTGCAGAAGCAAAGTCACACACAAAATCACACACGCGCACAAATGTTCATTGATATTTGATATTCTATATTTGATATGTGTGGCATGATTAATTTTGTTAGGGATGTTATTTGGATCTGCAAAAACCGAATTAATACCCAAATCCCAATTGTTTTATTCAAACATCACATAAGCAACTTTGGCGCAAGTTGAATTTTGCATTCTCCCAAACAATGCCTCCTGTTTATCCAAGCGTGAACACATACCACACAAAAATGATACCAAATGATTTGGGATGAAACACTCTTTCATAAGATGTATAATAATTGACTGTTTATAGATGATTTTTTTAATAATTAGCAATTTTCTAGGTGTAAACTTTTTTTTGACTCACACTGTATTATGTAGAGATCAAATTAAGTGGTGAATCATGTGTCATTGAATATTAACTAAATTGCTAACAAAATGTTGTCTGGTTTAGCATTCTGGTTAAAAGTAAACAGCAGGGTCCTGTTTCATAAAACTTCTTATCAATAACTAAAGCTAAATTTCTATGACAAATTTGCTCTCAGCCAATCAGATACCAGTTATTGCAACTTGTTAATGATAACATGTTTTACGAAACAGGGCCCAGGTACATGTACAAATGCATACATGCTCTTTTCTCATCTTCTGAGCATAAGACTTGCATAGAGACACTAGACAGTAACAGACTCTATCACACTTATTTAAAATTGAGTGGAAAAAGCATACAAACAAAATAAGGAAAAATGAGCTACAGTATCTCAAAACAAAACAAAATACATGTAGCTACAACAACAAATAAAAAAACAAAATAAGTAAACAAAAAGCACTATCAACAAGGAAATCTTTCCTTTTTAAAGACCGTCAGTAGTAGTTTGGCTAGGAGGGATTAGACCACACAGCGAGGTCACTGACAGGTGGCTATCTCAGCTCAGCTCTCAAATATCATAAGAAATAGAGGATCATGTGGGACCAACAGGCACCGATTGGGGAAATTTTCTATATAGAGGGAGCAAGTAGGTACAAATAGGACAGTGGGGCTTTAAAGAACTCCTCTAAAAAAAAGGAGAGCACTTTTTATCACCAGGGGAGGGGGAGAGTGGAGCGGGAGGGGGGAGTGGAGCAGGAGGGGGGGGGGAGCAGGAGGGGGGAGCGAAGGGAGGTGGGGGAAAATGCACATGGAAATCTAATGAGTCCAAAAACATGACGTATTGTTTTCACCATTATAGTTTGGCCTAAAAGCATAATATCATCAGCACATAACGACCTATTCGAGACCAACCCAGACAAGGGACAGATGGCGTTCGGTGAGGCTAATGGTTCTATTAATGAGGCGTAGGAGAAAGATTAATAGAAAGCCACTATGTGTTTCAATTACATTCCAAACAGCCTACTGCCATCATGTCAAATTTATCATACTGACAATGCTATTTTTACTGTACAGTAAGCCCAAATCTGAAATGTAATGTGCATTTCATGTCTTTGAAGTTTGAATTCATTTCTTCTTCTTAATCTTAACAATTTTGTTTTCATGTTCAGTCTACATTTTTAAAATCATTTTAGCCAAAAACTCTAAAAAGTTTTAAAAAAACAGATGGATGATATCTCTCAGCTCTTGCTACTTTTCAACTTATCGAATGGAACCTCACCTTCATACATGTAGGTCATGCACCCACCGTTGTTTGTTGGTTTTAAACAAACCAGATACAAATGTGAATTGTTTCTTATAAATGAACCTGAACAAGGAGAAAAACACTTCAAAGAAGCTTAGTTTTTTGTTCTATCAACCAAACTTCCAGAAATCTGACCACAGTACTGTAAAATCAAAAACTATCACGAATTGTAGCCACCAATTTTCACGACAACAACCTTTCACTTAAATCACAAAAATTCAGTGTTGTGTAAGTTATGGATCATGTATGATTTCACTAATCTTCACTACTCGCAAACATTTCATGTCCGCAAAAATTTAGTTTTACAGTGAAAGTTTTGAGAGCTTCCCAATAAGAATAATGAATTATGAAAACAGTATTCTTTATGTTTGCGAACGACTTGGGTTCAACATTCCATTTCAGAGCTCAGTCCCTACTAATACATGGATGCTGTGACAGAGCTAACCCTACGGCTCAGATTAGATGGAATTCTTGAGTTTAGATCAAGGAGACTTAAAATCTAGCTTTTTGTTAACAAACTGTAGCCTATTTGGCTGCCAAATCTCAAAATTCTTAGGAATACATTTCCAAAATCTGTGCTGATCAGAATGTAAACTCTATTTTCATGCCCTTGCCTTTTGAGTATGTTTTAGTTTGCTTAGAACTGGAAAATGGGCAAGTGTGTTTGGATAGTTGCCTTCTGAAATGGCCTGAACACAAGACCCTATCACTATGGTGGCTATTTTCATAAAGTTCACAAGGTTGACCTAAGTTTGGCCTAAGTATAAATGGGGGCAAAGTTGATGGGTGTGGGAACAAGGCATACTTCTGTTTGCTCCTCAATCATTTAGAGAGGAAAAGTACATTTACATACTTTGTTTGCAGTCCATTTGAGTACAGATATTTTACATTCATTCTGTAATTTTATGACTGTTTGTCCACCAATAACTGCAAAAATGTTGTAAGAGATCTTCACAAACACATAGGCCTGCATTAAATTCATTTTTCTGATTATGGTTAGAGAGGAAAGCTCTGAAAATTACATGTACTGTAAACAACACAATTATTCATACCAGGGCTGTAAATTTGATGTTTTTTTGTGATTTAAGTTACTCAAGAATGAAAGCACAATACGGTACTTCATTTTTTAACTTTTGGGGGAGTTGGGATATATTTCACTCTTCCTGCCTATAACGTTTTATCATGTCTTGCCAAGTCTAATGCTGCATCAAGTCTGAAAGAGAGCCTTTAACGACTCCCAAAACGATAATGACAGCCAAATTTGGTTCTCCTGCAGATGGTAACTATCTGTATAAACATTGGGGCCAAGTATGTTGAGAAGCGAGCCCCTTGATTGCTGAGCCTGTCAAGACCTCTGTTTGAAGACCATGTGGAAACCATTATAAACTAGACAACTGTCGGCACAAATGTGAAAATGATGTGCTGGTAGATTTGAAAATCTCTGATTTAATTCTCATCAAAGCATTCCACTTTGAGTTTTGTTTGGAAGTTGAGAGTGGTGCTTTCCTTGTCACCTCATTAAGTGTGTGAATGCCTACATGGAGCATCTAAGGCTGAGACTATCTTTCCCAAATTAACTTTGTTGAAGTCAATATGACAATTTAACAAGATTGTTTTGATTTTACATGTATTCCTCTTTTGCATCTTTCAGTGTTAAATATTGTAGACCAAAGAAATATGGTCAGCAAATTTTGAAATATTGGCAATGTTATTCTGAGGTTAAATTACTTTCAACCGACTTCCTACATAAAATGCATAAAATTAAAAGTAGAGAAAAACGGGATTACGAAGATTCTTACCTTCAACTGTCTGTTCCTTGTATTACTTCCTCTGTACCATCCTGTTCAAGAAAATGTAGGAATAAAATATGTAAAACCAAAATCATATTAAAATTAGCCATCTGTCTCTCTCTTTCTCTCCCTCTCTCTCTTTCTCTCTCTCCGTCTTCCTCCCTTCACATGTACTTTCTACAGGATCTACACATGTAAGGGTATGTTTATGCTCAACTTTTTCTGGCCAGAATCAGGCATCTGTTACGCGTTTAGTTCAAAACACAGTTGCGTCCTTTCTCATTTTCGTAGAATCACCGAAAAACGGCGATCACGATCGCCGATTGTAAACTCATAAAAAGGTGCGTTTATGATCGGCGATGCTGCAAAATCAGCGATTCTGGGAAGCATAAACGCACAATCATTTGTAAACCCGTTTAAATGGGGTCAACGCACTGACCTCTAGTGGGTCTACGTACCATGCGCAGTGCAGGTTTGCGAAACCAGCTGCAAGGCCACCCAGCCAGATTTGCCTGGAGGAGCCAAAGAAGTGAGCATAAACAGTACACTGTGGAACTGCGATTACGATGAGTGTTTACGATGAGCGTTTCAGATCGCTCATTCTACCTTCAAAATCAAGCATAAAAGGCACCCTAAGTCACATCTGAATTCTAATACATTTTCAAATAATAAGTAAATTTAAATGATGAATACAATAATGTTCAAAACAGCTGTTTTCCAAATATAAGTAAACAGGAAGAGGATAATTCTTGCTACAAGAAGGTACTGAGATCGCTGATATTTTGAATTCATTGATAATGAAGAGAGAAACACAACTTTCTTTCCCACATCCTTCCCTGTTGTATGGAAGATAGGTATTGAGTTTTCATGCATCGGAAATGAAAATGTATTATGAAAATAGTTTCCTCCTTGGCACACTGCATATCTTATTGTCTTGACTCAGAATCTCAGATAGCTAGAATAGCTTCTCCACTTACAGTACATTGAAATCTTACAGATATTTTTTTTTTTTAAATACATATATCTATTTATTTTGTTTATGTTTTGTTTTTAAACTTTGTTATGATGTATATTCTAGGCTTGGACAGCTTTCAGCATCCTTTCCAATTAAGAAGAAATTTGGGGGACCATTAAAACATGACTGGTTGAAAAGCAAAGTTGAGAATCAACTGTGGAATGAAGAGGATATCAACATGTATCAACACTGTATTTTTTCATACCCTGTGAACAAAAGTCTACATACATTTTGTTGTATACGGTATATAATTTGTCTATGATATATTGCCTTCCAAATTCATCTCAAAAATTTGTTATAAAAAATATCTTCCAATAAAAAACACACAATTAATAACTTGAATTTGTATTCAATCCATTCAATTTAATCTATCAACTGTCTAGATTCGGAGTACAGTCCACTTCAAGTAGACTTGTACTGTGGTTCATACATCTCTTCATATTGCCACATTACTTTGAAAGCTGTAATCATTATTTAAATGATAACTAAACATATGAAAATAATAGTTTTCTTTCTCACCTGCACTTTCTTCAACAATCTGCACTGTATCACCAACACTCAATAATAGCTCCTGGGGGCCAGATCCAAGAAAATTGTAGATGGCTGCAAAATGGAAATAATAAAATAAGAACACGTACATCTCAGAGAATGTGCTTACATGTACACTGTTTGTACTACATATACTGTAGTTTACCAATAATGGTATTAACAGTATTAATATTGTCTGAGGTAAGCCTGATGTAGCAACAAGAAGTGTGGCTTGAATTTCATATCTAATCTAAAATCAGTTTTTAATCTTGGTATGTGTTATGCATACATTTACCAACTTGAAAATTCACAAAATGCCAAAGGGAGCTGCCCATAGGGCTTTAAAGGTAGATTGTTTTAAAAATGCTCTCAAAACTCTTTTTTTTTTCAAAATTGCTTTCCAATAGATCCACTTGTATTTTCTAACTTACATCTTACTATTGTGTACATACATGTACATGTACATGTACATACATGTACTTTCATGTTCCTACTTTTCTTTTTTGCCTTGAGCACATTTACTCAAGTGGAATTGGCACATTATACTGTACATACTCCACCATAATGATATTATTATTATTATCAAATGTAAAGTACATTTATACCGTACTACATGTAGTACTTATCAAATTCATGAAATTTTTCCCTTTCTGCATACATGTAACATGTACATGTACATTACATAAAATGACCTTAGAAATTATGCTCCATCAGCTGATTACACGCAGTACTTTACAACTTATCCATAAATAGTCACAAAAGGCGTGTCTGCACTATCTCGAGATTGCCAAATATCCAGCTATTTGAATTATCCCGATCGCAAACTATCCACCCAATTTGCGTCTTCATTAGAACGAAGTAGCAAATTAGCTGGATAGTTGGTCGGGAAAATATCCCAAGATATCTCGGTCTAGTTTGCGGTTTTCCGTGTTTACTAGTTGTACTAGCCCGGCGCTGAGCGGTATAGATCGCATACTGTGCGAGAAAAACCGGAAATCGTTGTGCATGATGGGATCGGGATATTTGACTCCGTACTTCGGTCTTATGAAGACGGTCGCAAACTATCCCGCTAGTTGGGAAATAGTGGGATATTTTGCAAACTAGACCGAGATATCTTGGGATATTATCCCGACCAACTATCCAGCTAATTTGCTACTTCGGTCTAATGAAGACGCAAATAGCTGGATAGTTTGCGATCGGGATAGTTCAAATAGCTGGATATTTGGCAGTCTCGAGATAGTGAAGACGGGCCTAAAGAGGTCCACACAAGTTACATAACACATTAGAGTAACCATTCCAGGCATCTACCCTGGAAAAGATAAGATTATCTTGTCTGTACTGACATTCTGAATTATCTCCATCTTATGACAACAGTAGCCATACTATACAAACTTTGACAGGCAAATGGGGTACCAGGACTTTTAGCAGTTTTACTTTACAAACACAGTTGCCTATTGATGCCTATACTGTACGTAACTACTGTACGTACATGTACTTGATTGACAGTGTAGGTCTACATTCAAAACATGTACAGTACATGTACACTTCTCCAATGTAAATGTACAGCATAGAAGGAGAAAAACACTTAAGAATTAGTGATCATCTGAAGTATCAGTTCCTATACATGTACATGCTACATGTACATACTGTACATACATACTGTATGTACAACATAATATCAGTGCGTTTATCTTCATCAGCACTTACACTGAAAGAAGAATAAAGGACATACTGTAGTATCACTATGTAGGGCCAACACTATTGATAAGCCTTTAGAAAGAAGTGTCTTGTCTATCAATCATCCTATACAATGTAGATAGAGACAGAGTGATCTGGTGAGTAAACTATAAAGGGTGAAAGCAATCACAAGATTGAATGGCACTTTGTCTTTTCATGACTCATTCTGAAACACACACACAAATCATCAAGGTTCATCTACATGAACTACACATGTATAGGCCTATGGGTCATCTGAAATGGCCGCTCAGCTAACCATGTGCACATGTGTACATGTATGAGAGAACGATGGCCCTGTACATGGTCCCAAAATGGACAAGAATGCATTTAAAGTATTCATATGTACATGTACAATATAGCCCACAAGTTAATTACAAAAGCAATTTATAACCTGTGAGTAGAGGTCGATACATGCAGAATGTATTTCAAACAAAGATCTCTTTTTCACCATTCATGAAACATTTTTTTAACCACTATCAATAAATAGGCAGTGTGGCTTCACCATAAATACCGTTATTCACATTTACACAGATTGGCTGCATGACAATTGCTACATGTACATGTACAATATACCAAAAATAGGTAAAGGGCTAAACGGTTTGCTCTAAAAAAAAACTAATTGTTGATACAACACAGAATGTACATACATGTACATGTACATGAAAATGAAGGCCAAGTGAATTCAAAATCTTCATGACTATACATGTACATACCGTACTTGTATAGATAAGTGTAACATGAGACATTGCATGTCAAGAGATTCATCTGAACTTCACAAGTTTGATACCATCATCACAGTATTCTATTTCAATGCGTGCATGCATGTACATGAACATGTACACTCAAACAACCCACATCACATACTGGCTTGTGTAATACAATTGCACATACCATCCATAGCATGCACGTACATGTATTGTATTATCACCTCAAAACAAGAGGGTGTTAGCTCATAATCTTCATCACACTTCTATAGTTTTAACACTCCTCTAGGCTCTACACTAGCTTGCAGGCAAAACCCTTTATTTCGAGCAATACTGTAGCTGTAATGAGCAACAGAGGGTCTGAATGATGAGACTATAATCTATCCAATCCGGATAGATATAATAATTTACTAAATATACAGTATGAATTAGTAAGTGGTTTCCCAACAAAATTTGTATCATCATGTATCAGTCAAAACGTATTCTTTAACATGATTGGTAATAAGAGCTTCCATTTCATTTTTTGAGAGGGGGGGAGGGGGCGTTTCCAAAACTGTCTTTACCTTTAAATAAATGATTTTTTTTTTTTTGTATTTTTGAAAATTGAAAATCAAAGGGCAACTCCTATCCAAGGATGAACACTCTCAAGCAGATATTGATCTTTGCATGTTTTTCTTATTACCGTAAATCTCTGTGTATAAGGCGCACCCTATTTTGTTGTTGTTGTTGTTGTTGTTGCCGAAACGGAAACACACGCGAGAAAGGACTTTCATTTAACATCGAGGTGCAGTTGAAGGCACCGATTTGTGCTTGTGAATTTGTCACAAATAAAAGTAACAATGTCGTTTTTAGAAGAATGTGTAAGATCATTAATGTAAATTAAAAACAGTAGAATGCCTAGGATAAAACTCTGTGGTACGCCAAAGCAAAATTGGAGGAATTATTATTATAAACTCAGGGAATAATTTTCCTCAAATTTTTTGATTAGCAATTTCAGCTGATGGATAAATATTTCAAATGAAATTCTGTACATTTCTATGGAAGAAAACTGCTACACAGAAGATATTTTGTATAGCAGTCTTGCAAAAATGCATAGCAAATTGCGATGCGATACCAGGAAAATTATTCCCTGAAACTACATATTGAGATCTATTAGAAAGATTACTTTCAAACCAAGATGACAGACAAATTTGAGTGTTGTTCTAGTTTCTGAGTGGTTTTTTGTAGTATAAGACGCACCCCCGACTTTCAATTTTTTTCGGCGGCAAAAAAGTGTGCCTTATACACAGAGATTTACTTACATTTTTATAATGCATTTGATATCAAACCCTTTTCTGATCTGTTTCTCTTATTTGTTTGTGGTCTACATCAGTCCATATATATTCAGGGGTTGAAGTTCCCCTTTAATCCAGCGTCAGTATATGCAGTTTGGTATAAAATATCCTGCAATTATTTAGGTATGCATTTTCCTCCACGTTTCATTGACTTCCTCTGCAGTTTAGCACACACCAGACCAGACAGGGAAAGGTCCAAGCAGGAAAAAAGTGCTTCCTGCTCTCAAAAACCACATTGCACCAAATTATATTACATTATAAAGCCTGTAATATTCTACAATGTACATGTACATGTAGTATGTACATTATGTATTTATTGTATTCCTATTTACAAATCCAAACAAATTCTAGGAATCTTCAATGTACAATGAATCAATCCTCTACTAAATCTTGATGCAAGGGCAAATTACGTTGGACAGCATTTGTATTGGGACGAAAAAGCCTTGCAAAATCTCAAGATAATCTACATGTAGGCTATACATAGTGTAAATGGACTGCATGTAACACAGAGAATACAGTTTAAAAGATTCCTCATTCAGGAAATCCTTAGTTTTCAAAATATATGTTTCTGAATAAACTCTTCCAGGAATTTTTCCTTGGGATTTTGTGAGGCATTAAATAAAATTATTTACATGTAGCAAACTAGCAATGAATTAATAAAGGAAAGACTCTTTCATGTTTAAAATAAGCCACAACATGTAAAACACTCAAAAAAGAAGATTTTTCTCAATGAAGTATAAAGAAAGAGCTCCAAACCACCAATGAATTTCCCAACATGCAAATTCATTTGGAGTTCAACACATTATGTATCTTTAATCTATTTCTTCTTCTTGTTTAAATCACACACTTGCGCATGATGTCTATAAACCTGTCCTTGCAAATTGCTTACATGTACAAGGAGCCATGAGCATCACCTACAGATTGTATAAAGATTATCAACTAAGAGATTTGTGTAGCCATGGCAACAGAAGGTAAACAAAAACAGTACCAACAACAGCAAAAGTAACCTGAGAACCTGGATGTATTTGATAGGTTGCTATTAATAACTTGGCACAAGATGACTAGTATGACCACCCAAATTGTTTAGGTACAAGAAGATTTAATTTAAAGGGACATTTCTAGTACAGCATTCTCTTTAAAAATGTCAATAAAATTCCAGATTGTTGAGCCCCCCCCCCCCCCTCCCCACACAAAATAAAAAGATATATTTTTTTATATCACTAAATTTACACATCAAGTTTGCTTCTAATGCACATACATGTGGATCTATTGTGTACAACGTAAAACATATTGTGTTTGCCTCCTCATGCCTCAAGAGACATCATGAATGCATGAACAAAATAACTTTGGGTTAGGCCTAAATTATTACATCATAAACATGTTGAATTAGTTTTGGTTACAATTTGGGGGGGCCCCAGGCACCAGGTGGGAATGAGGGCTGAGGCAAGGGAAGATACGTAAATTGTACACATGGAATTCACCGTAACGGTTTACATGAATATCTTACTAGCATGTACATGTAAGAGCTCTAATAGTATAACATGAAACAGAAAAACTCACTTCTTGGAAATTGCTTCTATGAACAATATCATGTATTCATCACACGGTTACTGTATAGCCATGAGTTTTCACAAAAATAATAATTCCATTTAATTACTGCCAATTAGTACGGCAGGTGTGGGTTTTCCTTTAAAGATCGAGACTGGTAATTCCCCCTCCCAACCAAGACTATTCTACTGTGGCTAGGCCTGCCTGTCCACACTCAGGCGGATATTCCCCATTTGTCACACCTACTGAACTGAGTTATAGACTAATGAATGGTTCCTGTTCTTAATTCCATGAGTGCTGTAGAAGCACTAAGTAGCCAAGAAAGACATGCCCAAGGCTTGCCAGGCCAGGTGGGATGTTTATAAACCTGAGGGATTTCAAGTTTTCAACCCCTCACAGACTATCCCATTTTATGAAACGTATCCTTCCATACCATTTGACATTTCAAAGGGTGCGTTTAAGCTCAATTTTGAAGGCCGAATGAGCGATTTAAAACGTAAACGCTCATCGTTATCGCAGTTCCACGGTGTACTGTTTTTGCTCACTTCTCTGGCTCCTCCAGGCAATTCTCGCCGGGTGGCCTTAACCCTTGCAGCTGGATTCGCAAACCTGCACTGCGCATGCTACGTAGACCCACTAGAGGTCAGTGCGTTGACCCCATTTAAACGCGTTTACAAATTGTAAACGCATCTTTTTGTGAGTTTAAGATCGGCGATCGTGATTGCCCCTTTTCAGTGATTCTACAAAAGTGAGAAAGGACGCAACCGTGTTTTGAACTAAACGTGTAACAGATGCCTGATTCTGGCCAGAAAAAGTTGAGCATAAACATACCCAAAATCATACACAACAAATAACTGCAATGCCATTTCATTCAAATCACTGAAACAGTGATACTGTTTGTCAGAAAGGCATTTTAAGGGCACATACATGTACATGTACACTGTACAACCTGAAAATAAGAATTTGTGTATAGAATATGTACACTGTACATTTAGTATGTACAGTATATTGCAAAAAATCACCATTCCCCCCCCCCCCCCCCACAAAAAAAAAAAAAAAAAAATAATAATAATAATATTTTTTTTTTTTTAATAGACCTAGTCTACATGTAGATAATTTGGAAAATGTATTGAAACTTCTCATTATAAATATTACAACAGAAGGAACATCTTGTACGGTATAGCCTCAACTACTGTGCAAATGAATGAAAAACCTTCACAGCAAATATTTTTTGTGTGATTTGATTAGTCCCCATAAAAGAAAAATGGTGCATTTCCCACTAAGTACATGTACTACAGTACATGTACATGTATGTCATGTCAAATTGAATGTTAATTGTTAATGTTTTGGGGGTTCGTGCAATATCAGTTGATGAAGTTTTTTTTTTCTTGAAAAATTTGAAAATACATGTAGACTAAGTCTACATGTACATCATCTGCTTGTTTGAAGAATAAATGAAAAAGGGCAAGCCAGTTTCTATCAAAAGTATCAACATTGCTTTGACATTATCAAAGGAAATATGAAAACCCTAGAAACATCTACACTGAACAGTACGTCTGAATGAGTGACAAGTGAATGTGGAATAAATAAACCGTAAACAAAAGACAGAAACAGCCTGATCACATTTACTTATTATGGCTTTTTGCTTGTAAATAGGTCTAGATCTATTATCTACTACCTTTTCTTACTTAATAATGCATACATTGCATAGAACACCTCAAGATGTTAACAGAAAAATAACAGTCTACACCACTAGAGTATTTATTTTAGAAGTTTTTAGATCTAGATCTAGATCTAGTCTACTAAAATAGGCATCAAATCTTACAACATATATTTTGTTAAAAAAACCCTTGAGCTCTGAAATCTTTACACAATGCACACTTGTGATTTCAAGTTACTTAAAGGTAAAGACCAGTTTTGGAAACGCCCCCCTCTCAAAAACTGGAAGCTCTTATTATACCAATCATGTGATGATGTGAAAGAATATATGTTTTTACTAGTAATAGACTCTACATGATGATACAAATTCTGCCGGGAAACCACCTACTAATTAGTAATTGATATAGGCCTAGATCTAGACCCTATTTGGTAAATGATCATATCTATCTGGACTGGATAGATATCGCGTAGGTACAGTGCTTGTATTTGTAACTTTGTCTTTACCAAGACAGAGCCTACTTCTGAAAACGATTCAAACAGAAGAGAGGGTTGGGTCACATTTCTTTCGCAATGTATTGTAAAGTTTATGTTATAGGCCTAAAGTTACAGACAAAAAATGACAAGATTGAGGGTACAAATAATACGCATTGATATCATCAAAACAAAAATAAAGAGTTATAGACTCTAGACAGTCTACACCACTACAGTTTAGCTGTATGATAGCTGCCATCGGGATTATCTCTACAAGTAACAAGTAACACCACTACAGTAAAAAGTTCTACTCCGCTCATCCGGCCATCCACCGAGGGAGGCCGACAAGGGCAGCGCCAGAGCCAGGCGAGAGGCCAGGCTCTCTCTGCTGCTCCGAAGGAACAATGACCCTGCCTTGTTCGCTGAAATACCGACTCCACTGCAGACCGAGTCCAGGCTATAAAAAAAATAAGCTGTCAAATTGTTAAAACGTACGAAATATGGACACTATACTCACCAACAGCATATTTTGCCTCCTTTGTTGGAACCCAACCCGTCATTGTGTCATGCATATATTCCAATATTCAAGCAAATGGGAGAAAAATTGCTTCCAAACACACTTTTCTGGGCGCCGGTAGACACTCTGCTGACTTACCCAGCCTCTCTCGGTGTCGCCATGTTTGATGAGTGGATGTGTGTCATGTGATAGGAATTTGTCCAATCACTCATGCGGAATCCCGCACATAAGTGAAGGGACGATCCCCAAATCCCCGATATGCATCGAGTTTGCGTTCCTGCGCTAAAAGTAATCGGATGATGAGGGAGGGAGTCATCATGATGATCAAAGAGATTCGATCATACACGTATGTCCTCCGTAGGAGGACTAGAGAGCCAACTAAAATCGTGACCTTTGACATTTCATAGGTTTTGCATTGGTTGCATTATGGGGGTTTTGTCCGATTTGAACGACGGTTTTGGAGGGTCAATGAATATTCATGAGCAATGACGTAAAAAATACGCCAATTACTGTTTGTTGATTGGCCATTGACAAAATGTTTTATGTATTAGGTCATGCATAAAACATTTTTTGCATTCCCAGAATTCCCTACGATTTGAGCACGAAAATGGCGGTTGTATGAACTGCAACTTTCAAGTTATTCAATTACGAACAATGAAACATTTTTCTTTTAAGTGAATTTCTATTATAATAGAAGTTTGTCAAGTACATCTCAGTGAAGCAGAAAATCTTCAGGCGACCATTGGCATCGAAGTGATACCCTATGATATCAAGAAAAGTAAGTAAAGATCCATTTTGTGTGAAGGTCTCTGAAATGATTGTGATGTGTTCGTCATTGCAGTGAGCGGCTCTCCGCATTGTCACAACGTATTACCCGGTTAACCCCCTACCCCATCCTCTTTTCTTTCTTCTGACCAAAGAATATTAACTGATTGAATGAACTCTAATTTAAGTCATCGACGGTAGTATTTTCAGAATAATCAGGATTTTACCGTAGGTTATTTCATTAGAGCACATCTCATAATTTTAAGTTCAGTTCATAGCTTGATTTCCGATAGTAATCGGTCGTAGATGTGGACCTGTTGGAGACTGCGCAAATGGCTCATTGCTAGTCCAAGCCGATGAGATCTCGTCGAGCGGTTTATGATCTTCAATCCGCCGGTTCTAGCCGGCTGTAACACTCCACCAAGAAGCGACTGCGTTTCCTGAGCTGGCGCGGCTATAACTTAATTACAGTGTGTTAACTGTTACTGTAAAGCCTAGGGCTAGGCTAGTATTCATAGCATAGTCTGGCCTGAATTTTCTGTCTCTTTTGTTCGTTAGCCCTTGATTTGGGTAGGGTCGGCTCCTCTCTTCAGCCGACCCTACCCAAATCAGAGGCTAACGAACGAAAGAGACAGAAACATTCGGGCTAAGCAAAGCCTAAGCAGAGCCTAGGGCTAGGCCTAGATGATAGATCTAGGTCTAGATCTTAAATATAAACAGCATTTAACCCCGCATCTAGTATAGGCCTAGATCTAGGGCTAGATTCTAGGCCTAATGCATTCTAATAAAGAAAGACTAAATAAATGCCTGGTGTAGGTGGATTAAATAAATGATGTGGAAGTTATGGAGAGGGGGGGGGGGGGTGCACAATCATTCTGTGCCCCCCTTTTTCAGATGTGGCATAGGTCTAGGGACGGGTCTAGATCTAGGTCTAGAGCCACCTACTAATAATACTAAAAATAGGCAATTAGATCTAGATCTATAGCTTGTGTTATGCCATAGCAAAGAATTCCAAAGCCATGGGTCTAGTCTCGTTTTTGCTCCACTAGGTCTAGACTAGACTAGTCGTGCACATGTGTCATTATTGTGATCCAGGTCCAGATTCAGCTTAGTTTGAATGTAGATCTAGATCTACTACTAGGCTAGATCTACCATCAACAACAAAAACAAAAGAAAAAAGGTGTCTCCCCCCCCCCCCTCTTTCCCTGATTTTGCTCTTACTCATGTCATTGTGCCTTGTTTGAAATAATTAGTTTATTTTCAGGATTTTATGCCACCCCTTTTAGTTTTATGTTGGTGAGAATTCTGGATCCAACCCTACATATGATATGGATATTTCTTTCTTTATTAAAGGACACGAACAAAGTTATAAACTGATAACTAATGCATGCATTTGATATTAGCAGGAACCTTACTAAGTTTATGTTTTCTTTAAATTGTAGATCCTATGGAACAAAGAAGCAGATAATGATGACAGAAGTGCAACAAAGAGCACCAGGACCTGATCATCAAATGCTATGGTGTAGATCTAATCAAGAACAGGACACCTAAGTTGAACTCTGGCAAGGTATGTTTGTATGAAGTTCGAAAATATTCAGGCTGTATAACCTAAGCCCATGCGAACACCGCACTCGACTTGGACTATATACAAAGATTTGGGGAACTGTCATCTTGTGTTGCATTATATCTTGTAATTCTCATTTATTCTCTAGCTTTTTATTTAGGTGACAAACTATGGTGTTGATACAGTTTATTCTCTTAGCATATTAAAAGACGTACTCAAAGGCATTTTTTCCTAAATATTACATTATATCTCACAAACTTTTGCTCACAAAAGTCTAGCAAATAATAACTTAAAATAAATTGGAAATTACTTTTAAAATAATTGGAAATACATCTAAACCTTTACTCTTCTTTTCAGAAAAGGCCCTATCAGATAGACATAAGTTTATCATTTTTTAATAAAATTAAAATGCAAGACCTAAACAAAGTGGGAAGGTACTAGGGTCTAGATCTATTTTTGAAAATCCAATGTAATGCAGCAGTTTTAATCTTATTTGATTTCTCCTCTCTTTTTGTTTTTATTATGCAGGTTGTCCCTTGCAGAAGGTTTGATACCCAGGCTTCTTTTGTACAAGTCCCTAGTCCACCCTCATCTTGAGAACTGTTCCTGTGTCTGGGATCCCTACAACATCTCAGATGTCCAGGACGCTACTTCACAATGGGGACCACAAGTGAACCAGCAGTTTGACTGAGATGATCAGCACCTTTAGTTGCCTACTATATCTACAACTACAAGGCACTCTGCAAGAAGACTGGGAATGGTGCACAAGATAGTCGATGGTCTCTCCGCTCTCCCTTGAAAATTTTCCCACTGCACTACTTATAGCTACTTGCGCCCTCTATATAGCAAACAATGCCTAATCGGTGCCTGTTGGGCCCCCATGATCCTCTTTTTCTTATATTAATTGAGAGCTGATTTGATGAGATAACCACCTGTAAGTGACCTTGCAGGGTGGTCTAATCCCCCAGACCAAACTAGTACAGACGGGCTTTAACAAATCACGAGCAGGAAGTACCATGACATGACCCTCCAGTTGCACCAAGCCAAGCCAAGACATAGACAAGTTTGTATTTGCCCAACACTCTGTCCCAAAGTTAATGGAACTTACTTCCAGCAAATATAGTGCATGCTGACAGTCCAGAGAACTGCCAGGGACTACTTCTGAGGCATCTACTCTCCTTATCCCACTTAGAAACAATTTATCTTCCTCACACCACTTGTAATCTTTAGTATTAATTCATCTTCGTGATAGGCTACAACGCCTTTTGAAGATTACCAGAAGAAGAAGAAGAAGATATATCGAGGATCATGAAAGTAATCATTTGTTCTTTTAAATGCGTGTACATGAAACATAGTTTTTTTATATTTAATCTTAAGTCAAGTTCTGACAAATATATTAGGGATGCTGAACTGGATAGTAAATTGAAGGGGGGGGGATAAAATAATGTAGTTCGAGAGTAATACTGTATTAATATAATTAATAACATTAATAATAATAACAATATTACAAATAGTAAGAATAATGACAATGATCATGATAATAGCAGTAATAATAATGATAATACAGGTAGTATTAAAAACAACAATAATGTCCAATGTAAGATAAAGTACTCATAAAACTCAGTATATACCTGTGCTTTACATAATAAAATAGCATGTTGATATTATTGATTTTTTTTTTCTCAAAATCTACAGTAAACTTTTTCAACTGAAAAATTTAAATTCAAGAGACAGCACCCCCCCCCCCCCTCCCCCATCCTTTTGTCATCCTTTTGTTGATGTCATGTTGGATTTAAAAAGATCTTTATAGAAACAAAATATGTTGATAAATGAGTTCATAGATGTTAATAAATTAGTTAATACTGCTTAATTCTGTTCTTTTCATTTTCTTATTTTGTGAAATATATGTGATGATGCTGGTGATTATGATGATGTAGGCACTCTGTAATGATTATGCTCTATGACTGAGGTGAGATGGGGGCTGATGCAGTCTTGTGTAGAATTGAGTATGGTGTTCGACCATTTGATGTTTGTTTATATCTGGCATCAGCGAGATAGATTTAACCATCTTTCGTATAATGAGAGAGAAAGCGGAAATGTAACAAGAGAGTGGACAAGACTAATGTATAAATATAATATAAAAAATGGTTTACAATAAAGATGAGCGGGGGGGGGGGGGGGGGGGGGGGGGTTAAATAAAGAATAAGTCAATGCCAAAATGATGAAAGCATTAATTGGGGTGTGGATGGGGGAGGGAGGGTAATAGAGCCTATGGAAATGTCAATATTGGAAGGGGTCCCTGTATTGAAAATGTTACTGATGGGGGGGGGGGGGGCAAATTTAAAAAATATCGGTGGCAACGAATGCAAGAATGAAAAGAACGAGACAAAATAGAAATTTCATTTGGGATGGGGCACAATATGAAAATCATTGAAGTCGAGGTGAGAATGATTCATTATTTGGACACTAAAAATATGAATATATCACTTGTTGAGTGGGCTAAAGGATCAGTGCAATTTTTCTGATTAAACAAATATTTAAGTTAATAAACGAACAAAACAAAAAAGGTAAACAATGAATTGAGGTACCACAGTGAAATGGGGTCATTATGTTTGCCTTTTAACTGAACTGAATTAAAAAAAATGTACTTTCCATCCTGGTGACAGTGAAGTTTGTGGCCCCAACTAAGTCAACCATTTAAAAGTTTATTACCCCCCCCCCCCCCCCCCCCAGCACACACACCTCCCCAACTGTGCATGACCTTTGTTCTATATTTATCCGGCCCAATTAAGGATAGTAACGCATGCGCATTGTCCTTTTTTCATTGCGATAATATGCTAATAAGTGGAAAAG